CAAACAATTTTCAATTCAAGCCATTCAAAATATTATACTACCAATGTAGCTTATCCAGAGATTTTGCATGCACATACTTAGATTTCCCTTCGAAATACAGAAATAAGCAACAGAACTTAAGATTTGTACGTCGAATTATGTTTTTAGTTTCCCAAAATCCAGCCAAGCTGTAGGTCTCTAATTATGTGGAAAATATGAAAAACATTTGAATTCAAATTAAAAATTGCCAAACTTTAATATGACAACTTCAATTCATTGCCAATCAGTTCTTGTATAATTGGCAAGTTACAACCAATTGTATTTTTTTAAAGACTAATTTGCATAAGTTTATTTATTTACTTATATTGTACAAGCTTATAAATAGAAAAGGAAGGGGTAAGCCTGGGCAATCCTGCCTTGCTGAAAATCTCGTGTACAAAATAATCAATGCAATAGCAGTTTAATGCCTGTTTGCTTATGCATGGCTTAGATTGTTTGCCTATGATTGAAATAATAGAAATAAATATTATTATTTATTTAACGAAATTCCATGCCCATCATCACACACGGGATCTTCAAAGCACTGGGCTCTTGCATTTGCTGGGAGAGACCTGCGGAATGGCAGCATGTCAATTGCTTTGACTGACATGCAGCAGGCCTGAGAAGCCAGCGAAATTTATTACCTACAAGTATACAACTTTTGATGTTCTTCGAAAGAAGAATTAATTACTTAGACCAGACATCAGACATTTTATCAATGCTAAACAGCAACGGATGCACCTTTCAATTCGTACGAGTATATGCGATGAAATGTTAAGCGAACCTCATTATACGAGTACGCGCTAAGCGCATTTTGACAGCTTTAAAACTTCTCATAGATACTAAGCTATTTATGTAGACCAACCGCTCGCAAACCTGACCACGATGGCGACCACTCCGCACACTCTATAATGTAGCGCAGTTTGGCGCTGGCGCTGGCGCTGCTTTCAAAATCCGTGCGAGAATTATCATCTGGCAAACAGTTTTTCATAACGGATTAGTGCGGACGTTTGTCGTCGGTGTCGTCGTGTTCGTATTTGCAGTCGTCGCGGTTTATTTCATTTATTTGATATTCATTTTGTTTTTGTTTTTTTCTTCTGCCGTTGTTAGTGTCGTCGCATTGAAAATTTAATTTCGCACAATTTTAATTGTGTAATTTGATAAAAAATAATATAAAAAAGTGTCGCACTGGCTGTGCTCGTTTCTCGTGCTGTTAAATTCCAATTTAGTCAAGAGCATTTGCACAGAGCCTTGTTGTTGGCCATGTTGGCCATGTTGTTCGTGTTGTTCGTGTTGCCCGTGTTAGATGAATAAGCCATAGGCAGCCAATCGATCAAAGGAGCGCGCAACAGTCTACAAACAAGTACCAGTACAGAGAGAGACGTGCAAAAAATAAAAAGAAACTCGAGAAAATTGTGTAAATTTTACACACTAATGAGCCACAGTGTGTGCGTGTTTGTGTGTGTAACATGAGCCTTAATGTGAGCAAGTTTAGTAAGTACATACAAACATTTAAGCACCGAGAAAAAAAGTTCATCCAATTCAATCCCATTTGTGCATTTGTTTTAGGCATGGACATTTTTCTTAAACAAATATAAATAGTTCATTTAGCTACCAGAATTGTATTCTTGTGGCTTGCTAAAATATTCTCAGTGTACATAGAGATAATATTTGTTGCATACATAGTTAAAGTTCATAATCGTAACCCCGATTTACGCACAGATGGGCGGTTTGAGGGTGTTGGGTGTGGGTGTGTGTGTGTGTATGTGCCTGTTTAAAAATAGTTTACAAACATTGTTTATATTTAAGTAAAAATTGTAAGCATAAACAGCCATGGAGTTATTGCTTGCTCTACAGCACTTTGAGCTTCTCCCTCTCACTCTCTCTATCTCTGTCGCTTCTCTTCAGTTCAACCTGCCCTGCGGCATCCACTCATCCATAAGTCAAGTCCTGTTGCTTGTGCGGCAACTGCGGCTGTTGCGGCAAAGGCAAAGGCAGCGGCTTCATTTGCGGCTGCTGCTCTTCAGCCGCCGAGCTACTTTTATCTAAGCAATTTATTGATTTTCGTTTAGATTACAACGCGAACCGCAAAAGCCAAAAGGCCTGTTTGCATGTGAGGCAACAGCAACTGACAAGCAAACCAAGCAAACCCAGAACAGAACCCAGAACTCAGAACCCAGTGCCCAAAACCGAAACCAAACCAGACCAGACCCAACCTCTACCGACCAAATAACGATAAGATACATATACCCACTGGCCAGGCAGTACAGTACGAGTACATACATAAATACATGTACATACATATCTATTTATTTGAATATACGCAAATATTTTTGTTCGCCGTGGAACTTTTTATATTTTGTGTATGCTGAATAGGTCATATATAGTCTACATACATACATACATACAAACGTACATACAAACGTACATACGTAGGTACGTTTGATATGAGCCGTCATCCTCACACTTGCGTAGATACATATTCATAGGTGAATATGTACATACACATACCTATATGCTATTTATATGCATATGAAGCAGGTTATCATTACGCACTAATTGTACGAAATCAATGCCACAGATAAAACGGACCCACGAAAAAAAAAAATTAGCATAATGCCGCAAGAAACAAAATGAAATTATGCTGAGCACAAGTATTTGTAGTTAATTTGTTGAAGGCGTCGAACGCAGATACATTCTCGTATACGAGTACACACCAAGAAAGAAGCAAACAAAAGCAAATCAGCAAACATAGTTGTAAAAAAAAAAAACAAAAACAATATCCAAACATTTGCCGTGAGTGTCGAGCAACTCCAGAGATGATAATTTCTAGCCAGCCGAATATGGCGGGCGCCGTCAACCTTGATGCGCCAGTGGCGGTGGCGGCGGCGGTGGCAGCGGAAGTGACTGCGACTGCGACTTCGACTGCGACGTCGACATCAACATCGACGTCAGAAGCGGGCATTATGAGTGAAAGTGTTGAGAGTATGCCGCGGGTGGTGGCTGAGAGTGTGTCGAGTGTTTGCAGCGATTGTGCTGCAGGTGTGGGTGGGAGCGTGGGTCTGGATGTGCAAACCACAGCAGCTGCCACAGCAACAACAATTGCCACAATGGTGTCCAACCACACACAAGCAACCGCAACAACAACAACAACAACAACAACAACAGCAAGAGAAACTAGAACTACGACTCTATTGAATACAAGACCAATGCAAACACAGCAGCCAGCAAGTGCCATAGCCGATATGAAGGCGATTACAGCTACAACTACAACTACAACTACATTAGAAACAACAACAACAATACCAACAACATCTATAACCACATTAACAGGCCCAGCTTCATTAACACGTCCGGCCTCTGAGTCTGAGGTGGTTGTGGGTAAGAGCAAAAGTGTTGGAGTGTGTCTGTGCGTGTGTGTGTGTGTGTGTGTGTGCCTATAAAGTGTTTATGAAATGCCAGCGTTTATAATTAAATAAAACGAAAGACTAGAAATTTATGTATTTGCGTGTGCGTAAGTGAGTGTGATTGTGCGGTTAGTTGAGGGTGTTGCCATGTAAGTGTGTGTGTGTGTGTGTGTATTTCTTTGAGCGTGCTGGCATGTAAGTTGCTGGCGATGACCCAAAAGTATGCAACACTTTGCACGACACAACGCACACTGAACTATGTAGCATGCTTTTAAGCGTCGCTGAAGTGCATGCCAAACGCATCAGAATGTTAAGAGACCTGTGGAACCGAAATTTGCAGATTAATTAAGCATTTGCAATTGGCTTGATTTGACTGAAAGATTCATTATATTTAGTTTACTCGTATATGAAATATTTTTTGAATTGATAGTTTTCTATTCTCCGAAGAATAATTTAAACCTTCACCATCTGTTCATAAATTATGAGTGCAGTGTTCCTTAAAGATAATTTGTCCCATATTTAAATTCTATATACATTGTACATTTTCATTACCCTTATCAGCCACCTCTCCAAAAAGGAGACCTCACATATGAATAGATGAAAAATTGTTCACCTGCAGAAATTGTTTACCTGCAGAAATTCACTGAACAAAGCGCTCGGTTAAAACAAAAGCAGTAATAAAATTCAAAATTTTCTATTTAAGTTGTCAAATTGGGGATATCATATATTAAGAACAGGACACAATTAGAAAGTAAGCACTAGGCTTTATTAAGAAGCATGGCATGTACAGATTGCTCCAAAGAAGGAACATATTTTTCCTCAGACCTATTTTGTATTAATTGCTGTTTCTTTAGTAAAGCTTTTATAAGTTTACTTTCAACAAGTGTCAGTATGGCAGAGTCCCCACAAGAACTATAAGAAAATGAAATACTTGACTAGAATTTGCATCTGAGTAAAAGGATCTCTCTTTTTGTTCTTGGCATAGGCACAGGCACATCGGGCACCAGCTCATCTGGCGGCGGTAGTCGACCGGGTCATCGCAAATCCTCGCTCGCCCTTGCCCTCACGCCCGAAGATGAATCAATGGATGTATACCAGGTAAGTGCACCCATAAACGCCCACATATTCGCGCACATTATGATTACGTATTATTCAAAAATCATTGCCATTCTACGGGCATTTGCTTGTGGATAGTGTCGACAGAGCGTACACACATGTGTTGCGTCTCTGATAAGTGTTATCTTATCACAGGTCGTTATATGGCAACCCGCTCTTTTCGCTTTCGGGGTTGCCAATTCCACTGACGCGTTTTGTTTTACATTATACGCAACACTTTAAATGCTCGCTCTTTTACACGAACGCTCGATTGGTCATTGGTTGTCGTGGGCCGTGTGTGTGAGAGTGTGTGTGATGGTCTGAGAGTGTGTGCACATAAACAATACGCGGCCAGAGACATCAAATCAATTAACATTGAAGGTGGGAAATCAAAAAGCAAAGAAATAGATTAGCTATCGCCGAAAAGTCTTGAGGCAATTGACTCAGCCAGGCAGCCAGGCAGTCAGTCAACCAGTCGATCAGTCAGTTGGCCAGTCAGTAGGTCTACGGTCGTTCGGTCAGTGTATATTTTGCGACAGCAAAGGTGTGAATAAAAACCCAATATATACATACAAATTAAAACTCGCCTGAATTCGGAGTTTCACTTACGAAACGAACGGAAAGAAAATCGCTAAGAAATACACGAGTACAAGTATATAAATTTATGTAAATATGTCAGTGCGCAGCTCACTTCACTGCTCTGCTTATGCAAGTGCCTGGGGCGCATAGAATAGCCCGCAACAAGTGAAAAAACAAGGTCAGCATTGAACTCATTGGACACCAATCCAATCAATAATTCAAGTGCTGTTAGGTGCGTGTAACACGCTGCGTATGCGTAACGAGTGCGATCAGTGAATTGCAATTTAAAAATAGAAAAATGCGCAATTGTTTGCCAAAAATTAGCAGCGTTTTTCGCGTCAAGTCAGCGGCAAGGGGCGAAAATGTTGGAAGCGGGGGCAAACAGCGAGCAGCGAGCCATTCAAATGAGTCGGATTGTGAGAACGAAACGGAACAATATGTGCCAGCAAAGACAATGGTGACGACTACAAAATGTGATCAATTAGCTGATAGTGATAATGAAATCCAGCGCCAGTCGGACGCAACTATACTCTACATTGATGACGACAACAACCACAACACCGACAATAACGACAACAACAACAAAAACAACATCAACAACAAAAACAAAGGCAATAACAGCGATAAGACCAAAGCAAAGATAAGCAAAGGCGCATCTAATGTCGCAGATTTGAACAGACACAGCAGCAGTCTCAGTGCCAGCAGCGAGAGCAGCGAAACCACAATAAGCCAAGTGACGATGCGTCCCAGCATTCGGCCCATGGATGTCCGTCTGGTTGGTGGGAAATCCTTGGACAGCGCCAGTGCGGAAATGCTCAAACAGCCTCTGGGGGTTGTCAACTGTAAAACACCAGAGGAAATGGAGCGGGAGTACGAGGCTAATGTGGCGGCCGAAGGCCAGGACGTAATGACACCGTTGCCACGCAGCACAAGGTCATTGAGCATGGCGGCCTTCGGCACTGCTAGCGGACGCAATATGCAGCCGGAAATAATCGAGGCAATACGTAATTTGGACGCGCAGGCCTTGCGACTGAATAATCTGACACTGGAGGATAAGGGCGGACGTAACGTGCAGACGACCACGTCTTCTCCTGCTGCTACTGCCGGTCAGTGTGTGCAGGGAGATGAGGAATGCGTGATTTTGCGGGGCAAGGCGGCACATGATGTCGCTGTTGCCGCGCCCAGTCTGGGACTCTACGAGCGACGCTTGCCCAGGGTCCCCAAATTGACACTGATGGTGGGCAACAAGAAACAGAAGCAGGAAAAGAGCAAAGAGAAGAACAAGGAGAAGAACAAGGAAAAGGAGAAACAGCAGCCTTGCGAGTTCGCTGAGTACAAGTGCTGTCAGGTATTGGCAAACAACAAAAGTTACACTTGGCGAAAAATAAGTTTCAAGTCCGCAGCATACCGACCTGTTTAAAATAGGCCGCAAAAGTTCACAGACATGCTAGCAAGTTCTCATCATACTTATGCAAATGGTGAAGGTGTATGTGTAGTTTGAAATGTAGAAGCGTCTAAAATATTCAATTCTTTGTACCCGATTTCAATGTGCATACATCCCCATCGATTTCACTGCTTAAGTTTTCGTTCAGGCTAGATTTACTTTTTAGTACACCTTGATATTAACTGCAAAGATTATCGTTTGTTTTTTATTTATTTACGCCTTTGCAATAAGTTATAATTTTCAATGTGGTCAGAGGCGATAATAGTCTTAACATTTACCTAAATAATGTAAGAGGAAGAGCAAAACTTAAATTTAATATATAGCTAATTATTGAAGGTAAATCTCTAAATCGAGGGTGAAAATTTTAGTAGCCAGCGTGTGTTGTCAAAGATTAGTTCAAAGATGAACGTTTTTAAATGGAAGTAAGATAGTTCTGTTGTAACTCTCAAATAAGTGGGAAAAGATATAAGACAAAACAATTCTAGTTGGTCCGATTTCAGAGCAAGTTGCCACTTTCTTTTCACTCAAATGAATGAAATTATAATCAGAATATAATATTTCCAAGATATTCAACAACAACCATCGTATTCATAGTAGTTAGAAAACGACTAGGTTTTATTTTCTTTTGAAAATGAAAATACTTCATTGTGAGCAGTTGTTAATAATTTCTTCAAGTGTATATACACACTATCCTACATATCGTGAAATTGTTGGCTACCTCTGTGCAGTGGCGTGTGCAGCAAATCCCTGATTTTCACATATCGGATTTTTCATATAATAAATCTGCAGGTTGAAGTCACGCACCCAAACCAATTTCCACAAGGCACAAGCAATTTTATTTTAATTTATCATCATTTAAGCGACAAACACACCCACGCCCCACATGCATACAGAATATTGTTTCTGGTAGATACAGACACGACATACGACACACGTCGCACGAAAGCTAAGTTAAGCCCTCTTATTTTCCTTGCCAAAGCCCAGGGACAGCCCGGCCTGGCAACCTGGAAACCAGGACACCGAGAACACCGAGAACACCGAGGACAGCTAGGACAGACACTCCCGACAGCTGTATATATTATTAAATTTAACTTTTACACGTTGCTCAAAAACTTCATCTCGCTCACCCTCGTTTGTCTCCCTCTTTGCTTGTTTGTTCTGCAGCGAAATCTCATGGACTTCAAATATCCAACCGTGTTACCACCGAATCCTCAACTTAAGGTAAGTTGACATGCCCTTAGCTTTAGCCTTAGCCTTATTGGAGCCAACCGCCACTCTTAACTCACGCTTAATTGAACTGCAGGCGCTTTTAGTCTTTCACAAATCGGATAATATCTGTGAAGTGATCACATTAGCGTGCCAACGCCACCAATTGGATGTCACGCTGGTCAAGTCCAAGGAGGAGGCGCTCGATACGCTGCACAAGTCCTATGCCACAGCGGAGTGCTATCATTTAATTATGATTGACGCGCGCTCCACCAAAAATCTTGATGCCGAGCACATTGCAAGGTAAGACAATTCCGTCCACGCTGCGTATACGTGATGTGCAAAAGTTTTATATGCACGCGCGAACTTATATATATATACATATATATACACACATATATGTGTATAAGAGAACACTTTGAACTTTTAGTCACTGTAATCACATATCTATCCACTTGGCAGAACAATACGTCACACACATGGACATCATTTAACGACAATAATTGCGGTTTGCAAGAAAAGGTGCGTAAATAAACTTTTCTGTGGAGTTATACAGTGGTTCGCTTGCCGGAAAAATATAGCATTTTACTTAGTTTGCAAACTGCCGAATACTTATTTAAGCTGATTAAAGAGCACTAACCAAACAAATCATACTGTTTAGGTAATTCCGATTTTTAAAATAAAGGGAATGCTTTATATAAATTATACACGAAATGGAAAGGAAATATACAGGGAGAGAGATAATTGACTATATTATATTGTAAAATCTATGAACCTGAAAGGATTCGAACAGTCTACTTCTCACAGATAAGCTTAGACGGGCGATGAACAACGTTGTACATCGAGAACTTTGCTTCGGCAGATTTCGAATAAATTTCTGCAACGGCTTCCACCTCTAGTTGGGTTCATAGAGTAAATGACAAAGAGCGTCAATAAGAAACTTCTCATCTATTGATTCAAATTATTGTTCATTCGTACACAAGAGCCAAAGTCTCAATTTACTTTTTGATATATTTTACATTACATTTGATATGTACTCCAGAAAAGTATTTTCAAGTTTATGGTAGGGTAGGTAGGCGAGCTCAGACGATGGTGAATGATGAATGGCTACCAAGCTGGCAATTCACCAAATCGGCAGGCAGTGTTTATGCAGTTCAGCAGCTCAAATAACTCTCCCCCAGAAGAATAATTTAAATAGTTGTAATAGGAAACTTTGCTCTGCTTTCAATTAGAAGCTGAATACAAGTATAAACGCTTCAATATGAATTTCGTTAATTTTGAGCCACTGTATGAGGAGCCACTTTTATCCGGTCTTAATTAACAAGTTTTATTTGCAGTTTCTTTGAAAAGGATGATGTGCTAATTGCTCTATTGGACGCTGGCGTTAATAGAGTAAGTTTTTCACCCATACAATTCCACTGCTTATTAATAATGGCCTCGCTTGGCCCCTTTACAGTGCATAGCCGAGACCACTAATTTGGGTGTGTGCAGTGTGGAACTGAAACAGATTCTGCACTCAATCATACGGCCCCACAATGTCATGTCCACTCAACAGGTAATTGAGTTGAAATCGAGTGCATTAATGCGATTAAATGGCGTTCAGTCAGTGTCGTAGGACTCGAAGCCCCTACCCACTTTAATTAAATATTCAACCGCAAATTCTCTGCTTGTATCTTCCAACTGTGCCAGGCACTTTACACCGCGCTGCACCGGCTGAAGGAGGTGGTCCTCATCACTGACGATGTGATGCGCATCCAGTATGCCAATCGTGCCACCGAGCGCTTGCTCAATATGCGGCTGGTGAGTGCGGGTGTGGGAGTGCGTCAGCTTTCTATGCAGCATTAATGGGTTTCTCTTGTAAAACAGGACGAAATAATTAGCAAGCCATTAGCTGACATTTTCGTATCGGACCTATCGACCATCACAGCACAGGGCAAGAGCATCAAAGAGTTCGACGGCATATTGACGGTTCGCAGAAAGAATCAGGACGGCATACCCATGCATGTGCGCGTCGTTCCGGTGGCCTGCATCGGAAGGTAAGTGAATTATTCTATAACAGGACACGCTAATTGGCAATTTATTTTTGCTTTTTCGTCTCATGCCATACACCACACAGTGCTCCCACTCATCTAATTTTCAACTTTGATGTGCCCGGCGGTCAAATGGATTTCATAGCAACACTCCCACAACCAAAGGAGGCACCCCGGGGCTCGTTGCATTCGGTGCGTCGTTGCAGTTTTGATGTGCGCTCTATTGCCTCCGATGGACTGCGACGCACCAGTCTGGCCAAGCTCACGTCCCTGCCACTGGAGGCGCCCATAACCAAAGTATGACTCTACCCCAACTTCACTCTCATGCCAAATTAATTTCCAAAGATTCATGCCTTCATTAATACGCTTTCGCATGCATCCGAATCGATGCATGGCGGCCAAACATGAAAATGCTTTTTGTGCAATATGTACTATATACAGTTTTTCAAAGAAAAAATCGGAAACCCAAAACTAAAATTAGTAACTGTCGTCCGTGTTGTGTGTCATGTTGTTCTGTCATGTGGCCAGTTCGAATTATCAGCCGCAGCCGCAGCACTATAATATGCAATTACAACAACAACTGCGCACCTGCACAAGCACCACACACAGCACACATGTGTACACACATACACACACACAGAGAGAGAGAATCGAAAACCAATTGACATTTTCGGGGTTGGCCCACAAGGCGCGCTGCGGAGCGCTTCCGCCACTTCCGCTATTTCCGCGTCCGCCTATGCGGCCATCCCCTTTTGACTACTTCAGTTCACTTTTATGCTGCTCTTACTAATCCCAATTGTCAACCAACAACAATAACAACATTTGAATGCACAACTAAAACTATTGTTTATAAACATATAAATATTCTCTTTTTCTCTTATTTGTTATGTTCTCTTTTTTTACTTTTATGTTTCATATATATACACGAACAATGAACAATGTTTAAAAATAAAAAAAAAAAAAAAACAAAACACTTTTGTACAAAACTTGCTCGCTCGCTCGCTCGTTAAACGTTAAACGCTCGCCCTTACGCTCGCCCGCTCGATCTTGCTACAAAAATGTGTTTTCAAATATCAACCAATCAACTACAACAACAACAACAACAACACACCATAAATCTGTGCAACACACACGCTCTTTAGATAATCAATTTACTATCACAAGTACAGGAGAATTGTTCGGCCGACGAGGCGCGCCTCATAGACAAAGTGCTGGAGTTCCTTAAACGCGAGGGACTCTATAGTCCGCAAATGAAGGAGATACGCACCGATGATCCCATAGCCACCGATCTTATTGGCGCCCTGCTGACGGTAAGTGTTTCAAATTATTCGTATTTAGAAAAAGGACACCCAAGTTAACTCTTTTCCTTTGCGTTTAGGGACCCAGCGTCTACTCATCGCGTCGCAGCTCGAACGATTCCATCATACGCACTGGCAGCTCTACTCGCACCGCCACTATTGTGCCCGCCAAAATGAAGGTAGCTTACAAAAAATATTTCTCATCTCATTGAAAATTTGCTCTTTCATATATACATTTTAAAAGTCGGAACAAGATATTTGTTACTGAATGAACTTCAATTTCGTCGAATTCCTTTGCATTGAAACGTGAATTGTTTCTGCAGATTTATCTCCATTTTAAAACATTTCAAATCTGTCTATTGTGACAATCGAACTGGTTTCGATTCGGAAATCAGATCACCTTCACTTGAAGAACTTTTGAATAACATTTCCATAGTGATCGAAAACAAGTGGCTCAAAAATTGCGACCAAATCACATATGTTTTGCAAAGTATCTTAAAATATTGCAACGACTAATCTTAATCATCTGACTAATGATATAAATAAATATTCTTTAAATAGAGCAACAATCTCTTTTTGTGACTAATCATAATTACTTAACCTGTTGTTTTCAAGGCGAATCCCATCGTTATGGAATTGCTTGAAGAATCTCTTAGCTGGGACTTTGATATTTTCAAACTAGAGGAAATCACCGACTACCATCCACTGCTGTATTTGGGCATGGAAATGTTCCGGCGGTTCGATGTCTTCGCCACCCTGAGCATCGATGAGAACGTGTGCAAGGCTTGGCTGGCCGTTATCGAGGCTCATTATCGCAAGGGCAACACATATCACAACAGCACTCATGCCGCTGATGTTATGCAGGTACGTCAGCTAGCCATATGTTTATCTATGCTTAGACCCAAAATCATGCTGTTCCAATTAATATCGCCATGTTTAGGCCACGGGCGCATTTATCACGCAGCTGGCCAACAGGGACATGGTTATGGAGCGCATGGAGGAGGCCACAGCACTGATTGCGGCTGCGGCGCACGATGTTGACCATCCGGGACGTTCCTCCGCCTTTTTGTCCAACTCGAACAATCCTTTGGCCATATTGTACAATGATCTGACGGTGCTGGAGTCGCATCATGCGGCAGTTACCTTCAAACTGACATTGGGTGCGTATACCTCGACTTGATCTCTATATTAGTTCAAACATTAACTAAAAGTTGTAAGATTGTTGTATTTCTAAAATATCAAATTCTTCAGTTTAAAAATCAATTTTAAAAGAACTATCTGATGCCAATAGAAAGGCGTTTAAAATTCTGATTTACGAGGAATAGTTCAAACCAAGCGTAGGGATTATAGCTTTTGTTCCTTGGGCTGATATAGAATACAGACAAAAGGATTCGCTTGGTCCTTAGGTCTGGCCCAACAAAGCACCTATACAAACACGGGTAGACAAGATCGATGCCAACGCAAACAAAGGCTTGTATGCTTATGATTAGCATATAACAATATGTAATCGACGTGCCCAAGCCCGTCCGCATTTTCAATTATTGCCTCAGTAATAAGCCGTCAAGACGAATCTTTAAGCGCACGTTTAATCTTTCTGTATACAGATGTATTTAAATCGAAATAAACAGCTGCTATAGTAACTATGGGTTGTAAATTGATAAAACAAATATACACAATTTGAACAACTTTTTTGGCTTAGATAGGGAAGGGTATACTTAGCTACACATATCGTTTTGTTTCGATCATAAATCTATAGTGAGTTGCTGTCTCCACAGGTGACGATAAGATAAACATATTCAAGAACTTGGACAAGGAAGCGTACAAGTCAGCGCGCAGCACAATCATAGACATGATACTGGCCACGGAGATGACGCGTCACTTCGAGCATTTGGCCAAATTCGTTAGCGTATTTGGTAGTGACGTGGAGCCACGTGAGGTGAGTTGTAGAAAGAAAAAGAAACGAAGCTAAAGCTCACTAATTTCTAAACTATATACGTGTTTTCCCCAAAGCTTATGCAAGCGGAGGAGGAAAGTTCCATACTAATGCGTCGCATGCTCATCAAAGTGGCCGACGTTAGTAATCCGGCACGCCCTCTGCCTTACTGCATTGAATGGTCAGGTCGGATTGCCGAGGAGTACTTTACGCAAACGGACGAGGAGAAGCAACGGCATCTGCCCATTGTGATGCCAATGTTCGATCGCGCCACCTGCAGCATACCTAAGAGCCAAATCGGCTTTATCGAATACATCATACAGGACATGATGCACGCCTGGGATAGTAAGTTATCAAGGGTTGGCCAATCTCGGCAATTGCTCATTTTCTTTAACAACACGCAGGCTTTCTGGACATGCCCCAGCTTATCACTCACATGCAGACCAACTACGCACAGTGGAAGAAATTCGATGAGCAAGGCATTAATACGCTGGCCGACATCAAGGCCACTCAGCCGCCCATTGTGACACATAAGTTGGCCAACTCCAAATAGCATACGGCATTTCGGAGACTTTTCTCGGGACTATTGAAGCCATTGCCGGCACAGGCGCCGGGCACATCCACCATTGGGGAGAACGATTTGGAGGATGCGCTCTAGTGAAGGCCGCATAAGGGCCGCGACGAGCGTCGCAGTCTCTCGGTGTAGTGCAGCATATTTCTACAATACTTGTATTTGATTTTGTATACATATCTCGACTTACTAACGCTTCCAAAAAAAGAAAACCAATACAAAAAACAAACAACACAGAAATCGTGAACTAATGAACGAATGAATTGAACGCAGAGAAAAGGTGAAACGGTGCCAAAAAGTTGGACACATAACACAAGAAAGCAAAAACAAACAAACTAACTGTCACAAAACTAGTTTGAGGAAGAAAAAATGAAACTTATTGGGCTGGACTCAAAATTAAATATTTAAGATGGAAAAAAATAAAAGAAAACATCACACAAACTGAAATTATATATACTTATATAAATCTGTACTACGTATCGTTAATATATGTATAGGTATATATGTGTGTACGAGTGTGTCGCAAGGCCTGCACAGGCTTCACATTAGTCTTAAAAAAACTTAAGAAACAAACAAAAAAATAATAGAAATTATAGTCACATATTGTCGCCTACAGGGCGTATGAACAATATGGCGTGCGCTCAACGGTACCTAATGCGGTATAACCAACAAATTGACACGGGGCGGGACAAGATCGTCTATTGCAATGCAATAGACTCTTGACCCCTCTAAACATAAGTTGTATTTCAAATGTTTTTCCCTTTCAACAAGACAATCTCTTTTAAATATCAAACTAAAGTTTAAAATGAAATGTCAACGCACACAGGCAGGCATAAATACAAAACAAAATAGGAAGGGAAGTCCCGCGAAAGCACTATGGAACCAGGTCTGCAAACTACTTCTATTGTGTGGCGTGTGTGTATATATCCTATGATGCTATGGACTATTATTAGACTTACGTATAGCATAAAAAACATAAAAAAGCAAAAACAAAAATCAAACAAAACAAACAAACAAACAAACAATTCGAATCCGAAACATTTGAAACGTGTGAAATTTTACATGGGGCCCCTTACTACTATTTCTACTACAACTATTACAACTATTATGATTAATGTTCTAACTTTCTAAGCATACCTATTAAAGAATTAACTAAACTAAAATGTATCGTTAAGTAAGAAGAATCCTTTTTGAAATCTTTTTTATCTAATTGACTGAACAAATTACATATTATGTATAAAAAGTATATTAATACGAATTGATAATACGTTCTTGTTATAAAAACGGAAAACTAATATATATATATATACATGTATGAATACAATATATATATATATATATATATACATATATATACGTTTATACAACTTTTATTAAGCGTAAGCATATAAAGAATATATTTATATATAAACACTTATGTATGTGTGCAACATGATATCGGCATTCAGTAACATAGACATTAAAATGCGTTAAAACGTTTATCTTGTGCTTACATTTTTTGATAAAATTATACACAAGCAACACAAACAACCCACGATAATCCGACCTATCCAATTAGTGGAGCTGTTTGCATATACGAGTACATACTTGTACATGCACGTACGAGTATGTTTGTAGTATATAGTACATGAGTGTACAAGTAGGTCGTCCCTAGGTGCAAAACCGACCAACAATTAGAAAGTGTCACCCACCTAAGCTATGCAAGTTCTACAGACCACTTTATGCATCCGACAACTTAAAACGTAAAAAGTCATCATTTAGGAATCTATCTTGTTCGTTTATTGCATATGTATGCTTATATATGTATGTGAATGAGTAATTATTGTTGTTAATATGTGTGTGTTTCATGTACAATATGTGCTATATAAAATATACATAATGATAAAGTAATATGCAAATACATTATAGTTTAAAACGCGCGGTTATACATACACATATACTATATATCAGAATATATAGAAAATACATTTAAACAAACATTTATCGTACTGTGTTTCTAAAAATTAAAAAAAAAAACAGACAAAAAAACAATATAAAATCTTTATATATCTATGTATATTTGTTACTATAACTGTTTGCTCCTTGCAGGTTAAGGATAATAAATGTTAAGAATTAGTCAAATTTATTGTAATAAAAAAAAACAAACAAAACCAACGCAAAATGCAAATAATACAAATAAAATTAAAAAATACAAAACTTGTCTAAAAATCAACAAAACATATCTCGTATGTAGCTCTGAAATCAATCCCCGTCCCAGTTGGTAGTAACACAGGTGAGTAATATGTATGGTACGTTCGCAATAATGAGTGGAATTAATTAACACGTTAGTCTCTTGAATGAGCCGAAGGTCAGCCTATTATTTCTAATTCGCTTTTTAAAAGTCAAGCTCTTCATCAACCAACCCCACACCTTCTTAGAGAGATAAACAACTTTGACTATCGCTGAGACTAACAAGCTTAAAGGATTTCAGCCACATGGTACTAACCTTCCTCAACCACAACAAGTGGCTGTCTGGTGTATGCTATTGATGAATGCTAAGAACGACGCCTCAACACCCCTACCTAGCTGTGGGTCTGCCTTTATGAACCCCAAGTTGATAAGCAGCTCGAGAGCAACAAACTGCTCAAAAAGTGGGGCAGCGCATTTTCTTCGGAGTCTGCTGAAGGCCAACTGCTTGTCAAGCTATCAATTACAGCTATTTGCCGCCCACACAAGCGACACACACTATGTACTTGTATGTTTTCTGAGAGGAATATATTTATACATACACTGTCCATAGAGTTCGTGCATCGCATTTAAATAACCCGCTTATGCCCAAACTTGCAGCCTGTATCCAAAATAAATCTGCTAACTAAAGCGACACGCTTAATTTCACCGAACTTTATGCGAACAGTAAACAAAACACATAATCACAAAAGGCCCTGCACCTAAAAAGAAAATAAAAAACACGCTTTACTCTACAGAAAACTTTCTTTCGACAATGACGCGTTATCAAACGAAAGGGAGAGACTGTTGGTAAACAATAAAAGTCTTTGGTAAAGGTCTTACGCACCCGTTGCAGTTCGAAAACAATACTTGTATAAAAACAAGATGACAAGAGCAACGTTTTTATACTATACATACTCGTACCTACATACATACATACATATGTATATCTGTGTGCTCATTATATAATGTGTGTAAACCGCCCGATCGTCCAACGAACATTGAACGGCTGAGACTGCGTTCAATAAGCCGTCGACTGCAGAGCCGTTCAGTTGAGCTCAACTATTGAAGCGCCTTATTTTAATAATAATTTGAATTACAACGTACCGACGCAGTATTTCGGAAACCAGTTTACACATTATATGAATAAATCTTGTGCTGTGTAAACATTTTGAAACCACTATCGTCGCCACCTGCAAGATGCCGCAACCGAGTTTCTTTGCCAAGAGCGTGCCATTCGAGCAGATCGACAAGCTGGCCATAAATGGTGGCTACTCCTCGATTTATGCGACAGGGGAGCCCAATGTGCCAGTGGTTGGCAATTGGAAGCAGCGCTTTTGTCGCCTGGCCGACACCTTTCAGCCAGTCCTGGACCGTGTGTACAACTTCGAGGTGCGCGAGGATGATGTATGGATTGTGACGCTGCCCAAGTGCGGAACTACGTGGATGCAGGAGCTCACTTGGCTCGTATTGAACCAATGCGACTTCGAGACGGCCAAGAGCATAGACCTGACCATCCGTTCGCCATTTTTGGAGTAAGTGGAGAGTGTACAAAATAAGATAGGGAGCTGCTCACTTCAGTGCTACTTTGCAGATTCAATGGTGTGGTCTCAAACGTGCCACACGACACCATTGAGGCAGCCAACGAACTAAGCTCGCCCCGTCTCATCAAATCGCATTTGCCAGCCTGGTTGCTGCCCCATCAAATCTGGACCAAGAAACCCAAAGTCATCTATGTTTATCGCAACCCGAAGGATGCGGCCGTCTCTTATTTCCATCACTGGCGCGGCATGGTTGGCTATCAGGGCAGCAAAGAGGACTGGTGTCAATCCTTTATCGACGGCTACGTAAACTTTACGCCCTGTTGGCCCCATGTCCTCGACTTTTGGCAGCTGCGTCATGAGCCACATATTTTCTTCACCAGCTACGAGCGTATGAAGTCCAACTTGGGTCTAGTTATTACCGAGGTGGCGAAGTTTCTGCAGCGTGTGGTTACCCCTGAACAAGTACTGCAAATGGTCGAGCATTTGTCCTTTGAGAGCATGCGGGAAAATCCGGCTTGCAATCATGTCAAGGAGTTCGAGAGCATGAAGGCAGCAGCCGGACGTGAGGTTGAAGAGTTCAGGTGAGATCTGTTCACCTACGGAGTAACTGGTGTGGTACATTTGAATAAATAGAGATGTTTCCCATAGATTTGTACGTCGAGGAGTAGTCGGCAGCCATAAAGATGAGCTAACCGCTGAAGTCATACGCGAATTCGATCTTTGGTCAGATGTCAACCTACGCGATTACAAATTGAACATGGATGACTTCGCTAATTACAGCAAGTACTAAAAGTGATGGGTTTAAGCAATTACACATACATATATGTAGATATATAAAAGCATTATAAGTACTAATAGTGATAAGTTTTATAAATAAATTCAAACAAACACTTTTATATTGCAATGGTGGCCTTATCAGCTCATTTGTTTTTGCAAAAAAGCTTTAGTAAGCTCTGAGCAAATGTGCGTTGCATGAATCGCGAACTGAGTATAGACATTGGCCATTCGCTCACAGCTAAATAGTTAAAAAGCAAGAACCTGACCACTTCGGCAACAGTGCACCGAGGCCATGGAGACCGTAGAGATCACGCCCAAAAGCTACCCCTCTAACCTAATTGATAAGGACTGGAGCAAGCGCAAATTGTATTTCAAGAGTCCAGCTAAGGATTTCCCAGACTTAGTTCATGATATGGAGGTGCGGTCAGACGATGTTTGGATTGTAACTTTTCCGAAATGCGGCACCACTTGGATGCAAGAACTGCTTTGGCTGCTCATAAACGATTGCAATTTTGAGGCGGCACTATCTGAGCACTTGGAGGTGCGTTCACCGTTCTTAGAGTAAGTATCTATACTATATCTATCTGCAAATGTAATATTATGAGTATGTATGTATTTCAAGATTCGATTTCTTTATTAACGCTGATTCGGAGCGCGCCCTCAAGCCAGTGACGGAATTACAATCACCTCGTCTTATCAAATCGCATTTATCGCTTGCCCTCCTACCCGCACAGCTGTGGACAAAGAAACCCAAGCTGGTTTATGTATTTCGCAACCCGAAAGACGCTTGGGTTTCATCCTACTACCATGGAGTTAATAGTGGCTTCAATTATGGGAAAACTCTAGACCAGTTTCTGAATGAGTACCTTGAAGAAAAAGTTCAGAAACAAGCACCTATTGCTCATGCAAGCGAGTTTTATCAGCTGCGGAATGAGCCATGGGTTTACTACACTAGTTTCGAGCGGATGAAGAGCAATTTGCGAAGCGTAATCGAAGACCTATGTCAATTCCTGAACAAAACAATAACAGAAGAGCAAATGCAACGAATGCTTAAACACCTTTCTTTTGAGGAAATGAAAAGTACGTTTCTTTGGTAATGTGGAGCTCGTTCATAATAGTCTTTCGTTATATCTCTAGATAATCCCAAGACTAATCATCTATGGGAGCAAGCTCAAATAAAACACAAAGATAAAGATAAGGAAAAGCACAAGTAAGTTACTTTAATATCCTATATACCATCATAGTTAAATTGAGGTCAGTTAAACGAGCAAATAGGTAAAACAAACATCGTACATTTTACAATAACGGTGATTATTTGATTTAAATATTTTTCAGTTTTGTCCGCCGAGGCAAAGTTAATGGATATAAAGACGAGCTAACCCCTGAACTGATTGAAAAGGCTGATTGTTGTTTAAATGCACAATTAGATGAACATGGAATCACCTTGGATGAACATTTATTACTATCCTAATGTATCCTAAAGTAAACTCTTGAGTTTTTGTTATTTTTTATCACAAATATTAGATCACAAAATTGAAACTTAATAAATAAATAAATAAATTTTAATATTTAATTTGTTTTGCAAAGCCATACTTTAGAAACAGACTTTGGTAAACATTTTAATAAGTCAGCTTGAACTTGTGCCGCACTTATCCCAACGATCTCTAAAATGGTTGAGTCAGGATTGACATAGGATTTCAAAATAAATACTCGCGTACTCCATTTTTGTATGTCACTGGCATAATCGAACACAAAATTTGGTTCACAGATACACTCCTAAGTTGCCTTTACTTCAAAATCGCGATGTTTAAATGTTTATTTGGGAGAAAACGTGCTCAAAACCTCTCGAAAATATTGAACATAACTATCATAAAGCCTTTATGATAAAGGCTGGCTTAGCTTTAGGGGAAAGAGGAGCTAGTTGGCTTTTAAATTTATTTTTCTCAAGATGAAAAAAAGGCGTGTCAACTCCAGAGCTGATTGAAATACAATTGCTAAATAGAGGAAAAAGAAAAAGCCAATGTAGTTAGTCTGTATCAGCTGTTACTTCCTAATGAAAGTTAGTTTTTCAATATCATTAATTGAAAATTGATTGAAATCCACCTCGATTCGAATATAGTATTACACAAGTTTTAAAGTCTATTTATTATAAAAAATCCAAATGTTGTACTAACTAGTTTTCATTCCGATACGATGATATAAAAAATACAGTGCAATAAGCACTGCTCAGCTCATTTTCCAGTCCGTTGAACACTTTAGGCTGTGGAGGTCTCCACCTTCCTGGCATTATCCTCCTTGGAGGAAGGTCCAGTCTGTGTAATCTGCACCAAGCGCTCAGTCGAGGGTGGTGGCAGTTTTTTCATGGGCGCCGTTATAGTTAGCAGACCATCAGAAGAGAGCGATGACGTCACTGTGTCGGGATTAACGTCACCTGTAAATCATAAAAAAAATAAAACAGATAAAAGCCTGCGCCATGTACGAGACTGAGCTTTAACTTACTTGGAAGCTGGTAACGTCTGGAGAATTGTCGGGACACAAAGCCATGCTCGTCCTGTTTCTCTTCGTGCTTGCCCTCAACGATAACGAATTTATCGGCCACCTTGACGGTGATCTCATTTGGAGAGAACTGTTGCACATCCAGAATGACTTCGAACTTCTCGCTGTCGATATTCAGCGTTGAACCGGACTCTTGTTTTTGCAGGCTGTTTGCGGAACGCTGCCAGGGACGGAGGTAGCCCGAACGCAGAACTGTGGGGCGCGAGTTCCACACGGACGAAAGCAGATCATCGCGTTTCAAGCCCTGGCCAAAATGCTGATCCAGGAGGCGCGAAGTGCGCATTGGAAAGTCCAACTCGTCCCACCAATCGCGAAACATTAGAGGCACTACAGACATCTACTTTGAATACAAACGAAAATGGGAAAGTAATAGCAATTATTCCATAATCCTTTGCTATGAAATTAGTCTCAGAGTCCACGTTAAGGATGTTGGATTAGTTTCAAATTGGTATCTTCTACTATATGTATACCTTTGTTTTTTTTTTTTTTCGATTAGTCACCACACACTACAGTACACTTTTTCTCGCGATTTTTCAATTTTCGCGTGCGTCTTTTGAATTTGCCGTTTGCAATATGAATGTGGAGATCTCTGAAATACTGCTCGATTTTATATCGAAATCTCAGTGTTTACATCTGCACAGAGTATGTTGCTTTCTACACTCATACATTTGTGCTAAAAATATTAAAATTTATTTGCCTTCTAATTTTAGCCAAGCGTCATCTGCCATATGCATGTATGAAACACCTATATATATAGGAATGTATCTAAGTTTATTTTGTTTTTGTTTTTTTGTTGAGGTTTTTCGTGTTTGGGGGAAATTGTTTGCTTGTGATAGAAATCGCTGCTAATGACGCCGTCAAATGGAAAATTCTACATTTTCAGCCAACAGCAGTCTAATTTCTTCTTTCCCCGCAACTATATCTAATTTAATTGCCATTTTCCGTGTGCAGTTTCCAAAAAAATACATATATATATGCACTCACATATTGTTAGAAGAAACGAGTGCATCTGGCAAGTTCTTTTAGGGCCCGCCTATATACACTTTTATTTTGGAGGCAAATAAACATTTGGAAAATACTAGAATGTACAAACACTTATTATCAACACTTATTTATTTTGCCAACCTACTTGGTGAAAAAACATTTTGTTTTTTTTCCACCTGTTGAAATATTTGATGCCACATATTAAAATACTTTTCGAAAATAAATGAGTTTACGTGCTATTTAAAGTATAGCTGCTGAGTCATGGAGCGTGCGTCGTAGACAATATTTAAATGACGTCGTCTATTTGGAGAAGACACATTATATACTAGTATTTATATTGTATTATTAATATAGTAATTATATTATTCAAACTTTTTTACGATTCTCTTATGTATGCACTAAACTGTAAACTGAAAGGATATACTTACATGGAAGAGGAGGAAAGCGTAGAGCACTATGCAGGATAAGGGCGAACCCTCCTGCACGATCTCAAGATACCAAATCCCGAGATTGTGAAAATAACAAAATACATAAGCAACACCGAGCAGTTGAAAACTGACTTGTAACAAACGAACTCGAATATCAGAATGGGCCTCTAAGCTGAAAATCTCTTACCTTTCAACACAATGTAAAATATTGTGATGTATTAGTTTTTTAAGGCTAAATTTACATAAATGCTTTTAAATACAATTTTCTAATCATTATATTGATCTAAAAGCTTATATTGATAGAATATGAATTTAAAACAACGCGTTTATAATTGATTAATACATATTCAATAATTTGTAGTAATTAATTAAAGATAATGGAGTAACAGTTCTAATAATCACTCAAACCTAAATTAAATATCATGCTATTAGAAAACAGAAGAGAATGGAAAACTCTCGCATCAAGAATATAATTAATAATAATAATAATAACAATACCCTGTACCCAGGTAAACTTCCGACACTGAGGTATATGTGCCTCTAGCAGAAGCAAAAGGAAGAAAAAGAGCGAACTTGATGCTGCAGCTTGTGGGCGTAGTACCGGAGTGAAATTGTTTCGCTAATAACTTTTCTTAGAATTGACCGATTCAGATGAAATTTGAAAAATAGATAATAAGATGTCTATTGAAAATTGTTTGTTTGAACTTGATTCATTTAAATGATTGTTAAAAGTTCGAATCTTTTCTTCTTGAGAAAAAGGAAACGGAAGGAAAAGGAGCCATCATGCAGCACCCCACGGCTTCACACATACTTACAAGCATGTATGGAGTACATTATGCAACGAAACTGCACACTGATACGAAAGTACACGGAGACTTGACCAAAGCATGGGGTGTGCTTCGCGATAGTGTGTATGCCTGTGTGTCTGCATGTGTGCGTAAAAGCCGACGAACGCAAAATGAGCGCAAGAGGGTCGCCAAGCAGTTGGGCTTCTACTAACAGGTCATGCAGCCGTGTCGGCTCCGCACGGGCAGCTCGTCATCGTCATGTGACACGTGAATTTTGCTGTACGGTAATACCAGGAGATACAAGAACAATAGCCAAGCCCAATAGCTACTCGTACTGCGACGACCAAAAAAGAACACACGTGACACAATGACAAAGGTAATAAGAATAGGCAACTATGTAAATTGATTAATGACTGTTTTTGTTTACTTGTTGTTATGTGTGTGTGTGTGTGGTTTTCTCCTAACCCAATTTTCAGTCGCTGTCTATGACGTCACGCCATCAAGCGACGCTGTTGCTTTTCCTGTGCCTGCTGCTGCCAGAGATGCAGATGCAACCATCAGTCGAGGCGCGTCTCACCAAACGTAGCTACTCAGACCAAAGTGTTCACGGCTACATGACCGAGGTAATACCTACATCATTGCGGATATACTCACCTTCTGAAATGAAAACAAATGAAATAATATTTTAGCGCACCTGCTGGTGGAACGAGGCGTGCAAGGAGGAATTCCAGAGCCTCTTTCGCTGCAAATGCCCACAGTTCTCGTATTGCCGGTAAGTGGGCTCTGCAACATAAATATTGAAGACACCCACTGCTACTAATTACTTGCCCCATCTGCCTGTTTTTAAGCTCGCCGGGGCGCTATTATAATGCCTACTGCTCCATGACGGACACCGGCTATATTTGGACGCAGCCAAACTGGGATTGGGGCCCATAAGTTCGTGGCCGTGACGTCAAACAAAGCACCCACAGCACACACACACTCACACATCTTTAGACCCAAACCAAGCCAAAGTGACGCGCATGCAACACTGACTGCTGAAATTATGCTTCCGTTTCCCAAGTGGCCTCACATCGATTCAGAAATATTCGTAAACGTAACAATGTTGAAATTCTAAATCTATTGGACTTATACCTGTGCTTTCTATCTAGTTTATGTAGATTGTTATAGCTTGTCATGCTTATTCAAATAAACTTGACTTCAATCAGATGAGAGCTGTCTTTTGGTATCACATCAGTATAGTTGCTGGCACGGAAAATATAGACGCATTATTTTTTAAATTACCCATTAATTCAATTTTCTGAGTTATAAGTTCTCAATGAAAATCCATTATTCAGTTTGTTGGAAATGTGCTTTTTTGACTATTTTATTAAAATGCCTTTTAAATATACTGTTCAAACCACTATAAGCCCATTTTGAGTTCTGCAACTTGTATGAATCCAGAGATAAACATTTACATTTGATAAACATTTGTATTCGTCAACTTTTGGCGCGAATGTTTCCACAACATATTGCATCGCATTATAGCAATGTGAAAAATCGATAAAGCGCTTTCCATTCCTCGTAGGCGTGCATGCACAGTGGAACGATTTACAGCAGGCTGCTTGGGTCCAATACTGCTCTCATCAATAGAATTATTTGCTTTACTGTGCGCTCGTCTTTCCTGCGAATACGATGCGCAGGCGCCGCAATAAAAGCGAAAGGCGTAGTAGGTGCTTTGATGCTTTCTATGGGCAAAAGCCCAGTTAATCTACGGGTGCCAAAGTTGAGCATATAGACGACGCAAACAGATGTTGAGTTGGCGAAAATATTTAGCTCATTGAAAAACTAATTGAAAGGTCAATTAACCACAGCTAAGGATAATAAAAAATTTAGAAAAATTGTAATTTGTGTTTAAGAATGCGCGGCGTTCTGTTTTGCGCACTCCTGACGCTTGGCGCAATGTGCGCCACTGGCAACCACCTGCCAGAACCGCTCGCCTTGAACGAGCGCTTCTTTGACGAGGTCAGGGCGCTTATCAAGCGTCGCATGGTGGTAAGCAACTGCTTTGCAATACATTTAACCAAATATCTAATCATTATCCTTTGAACAGCTGAAGCAGCTGCCTACGTCCAGTGATGACTTGGCGCTACAGAATCAGCGCAGCTATGATAACGTGCCCATTCCAGCAGCAAGTGTGCCCACGCCAGTGCTCGTGGAGAACTGGCCCACCGAGAGCCACACATTTGGGCAGGTCACGGCCGTCTCGATAGATCCCCAGGGCAATCCAGTAATTTTCCATCGGGCCGACCGCTACTGGGACGTAAAGTAGGTCAACAGCTGTGCAATAACAGCGCCTAGTAACAAGTGTTTCAAACACGTACCTTTATTTCCCAATGTTAACCTGTTCTTCTTGTTGCTGTTGCAGCACCTTTAATGAGAGCAACATCTACTACCTCATCGAGTACGGCCCAATTAAGGAGAAGACAATTTATGTGCTGGATCCAAAAACAGGTGCCATCAAATCGGGCTGGGGTTCCAATATGTTTTATATGCCCCATGGCATGACGATTGATACTCACGGCAACTATTGGATAACTGATGTAGCCATGCACCAAGCATTTAAAGTAAGCCAACTGTGCATTTAAGTCTGCTATTAATTCTGACGCTCTTACAGTTCAAGCCCCTGGAGAGCAAGCCACAGCTAACAATTGGTAAACGCTTTCGTCCCGGCTCCTCTGTCAAGCATCTGTGCAAGCCCACGTCTATCGCGGTGGCCACAACCGGAGAGGTAGGCAAAACCCAAAGCAAAATTGGCAACAATTTTCAATTATCTTCCACTTTTCCCACAGTTCTTCGTTGCCGACGGTTACTGCAATAGTCGCATTTTGAAATTCAATGCCGCGGGAAAACTCCTACGTACCATTCCACAGCCACCCGGTGCGTATACGCAACGTCACATAGAAATCGGATTAGACTAAATTTTGCACTTTCTGCATTCCCATTACAGAATTTCTTTCGCTGCAAGTGCCCCACGCCATCACACTCTTGGAACACCTGGATGTTTTGTGCATTGCTGATCGGGAGAACATGCGAGTTGTCTGTCCCAAGTGAGTATTAGAAATGATCACAAATTACTTTCCCATTTACACTCACATAAAAAAAACAAGTAAAGAAGGCAAGGCATCTTGGACTAAAATTTGGTGTTCCTAGGTCTTATAGTCTCCGAGATATAGGCGATTATACGAATGGAAAATCGGGATAACCCCCATAGCGGGGAAGTGAGGGGGAAAATCAAAAAAATAAAACAAACTCGTATAGAATACACACATAAGGCATCTTTCTGCAAAATTTGGTGTCTCTATCTGTTATAGTCTCTGAGATCCAGGTGTTCATACGGACGGACAGACAGACAGACAGGACTAGATCGACTCGTCTTGTCACGCTGATCAAGAATATATATACTTTGTGGGGTCTGCCACGCCTCCTTCTGCCTGTAACATTTTTCAGCTCGTACTCTTGTACATTTCATGTACAGAGTATAAAAACACGAATATTTAAAACAAAGTAACGATAAAGGGAAATCCGCTGCTTTTATATCGATTGCTTGACTAACGTATTCAAACATAAATCTCATTATCATCTTCTTCCTGCAGAGCTGGTTTGAAGTCCTCACATGGTGAAGGGCAGCCCGCGGCGACGATTCAGGAACCAGATTTGGGTCGCGTGTTTGGTGTTAGCGGTTACGGCGATATTGTATATGCCGTTAATGGGCCCACATCCATGCTACCTGTGCGTGGCTTTACCATTGATCCCCGCTCAGAGACCATTATCGGACATTGGGGTGAATTCAAGAATCCGCACTCCATTGCGGTAAGTGTCAATGGATCCGCTTTGTATGTCACCGAAACTGGCACTAATCATCTGACGAATCGCGTATGGAAATATGTATTGGCCTAAATGACCGAGCGGCATTAAAAGCGCTTAGTTAGAGAAATGGTGGTTATTAATCCATATATTCATATGTAGCAGACCATTCCGAAATAGTATCGCATATCCTTAAAATAGTTTATATTCAACAGAAGCGAACGCAGTAGACAGGAAATTGCAATTTTTATGGTTAAAAACAATAGAAAGTAATGTACAATATAAGTTGTAAATTGCTTGACAAACAAATACCACAACAAACATAACCTCAACTTTTATGTTTTGCACTGTAATGAGCAAAAAGGAATTACAAAGCAGCTAAAAATAATTATAAATAAATAGGTACATATGTTCGTGTGTGTGTGAGAGACTACCATAGCTTACCCATAGCATACAGCGCGTATATCTAAATATATAAATATATATCTTTGCGTAAACAATGTATAATATTGTAATAACCTATATAAACATGACTCTATGAAATATGTAATATATGTATGTAATAAACTGTTGTTGTTGTATCTTGTCATACAGCCTATATATAAATATAAATACATTTAATGGGTGAGTTCGCAAATGCGATTATCAATTTGATCGTTTTGTAGGATAAATGTATTGCTCCATAATTTGTTCCGAGCGTTTTTTTAGTTCTTCACACATCGTTCTATACACAATCATTATATGTCGAGAACAATTTTTATGTATTAGCCACGAAAGCGATCACTCATTTATTCTGAAGGCCACAAGTGAGTTTAAAAGGTTCTATCCCTGATTTGTAAAATCGAGCATAATCGAGCTTGCATTGATGTACCTATAGAAAAGCAGCCCCTACAGATATAGTATGTAAAGTTATTTACCAAGTTAGCACATTATTGTTGGAGAAACTTAAAGAAATATACATTTAATAATTGTACCCAAACATAATTACTACATAAATATATCTATGTGTACAGAAAACAAAACTACTATAACATAATTATGAATTAAAATTTTGAACGCAAAACACTAGACACCAACCTCAGGCACGTAGCCAACGTTTCACAATTTCCAGGGCCTCATTCAGATGCAGTAACCATTCATTAAGTTCCGATTGGGTATCAGTAGCAAAATAATATATATCTGATTCATCGCACTGTATCATAAAGCTACGTGCCCGCGCACACAACTCACGTGGGGCCACTTTTAGCTCTTCAAACGGACAGTTCTGCAATCCTAGGGCTAGCAGTGGAGGCTGTTCGGTTAGATTTTCCTCATATTGCCACACGTCCATCTGCAGACCCAGCAACGTGCACCAACGTCGGTTCCAGTTGTGCTTATTCTTGGTGTCCTGCACATTTAAATATCCTGCATACTGTAGCTTTGGCAATCGCAGCTCCGCGCGGCCTGTGAGCGTTATTTGAGGTGCCAAATTCGTGGACTTCGTGTGCACAATGATCGGCAGCCGCCAGGAATGTGAGGTGCGTAAGCATATTTGGGAGCTTTGCTGGGTTTCGCTCGTCACCACCTGATAGGGTATCATGTCAGAGGCGCGCAGGGTGAAAGAGGCGTGTAGACGAAAGCGCGAGACAATTTGATCGCAGCCAGAAGTGCTGCTGTTGGAGCTGCCGGCCGAGCCCAGGCTACCGCGTTTCTAAGACAATAAAAGGTTTCTAATAAGCAAGTGGCTAAAAATATATTGTCTTCAGACTATACATTTTCATGTAGCTCCTGATATCTATGGTCTAAATGAGAAACTTTTCAAAGCGCGTCTGTTATATAACAAATTGGCATTTAACTAAACATTTCCTTCGGTAATCAGAATCTGGAACACTTCGCAGAAGTAATTTTCATTAAATATTAAATCAACCACCCGGCCCAAAGCTGCTAAGATAATTAGATCGGTAGTGCTAAGCTTAAGTCGAACGATTTCCTGTACTTCCTTTGGTAATCGGATATTCAGAAATGTGATTGGTCTAAGCATGGGATAAGGGCACACGTATACTTACCGTCACTGACTTTTGGGGCTCCAACGATAATGTGGAAACTTTACGCAAGCGCAGCATAAAAATTTGGCATCGCAGCTCCAGCGCTTCGGCCTCTAATCTACTGTAGAATTCTATGCCACAGTCACGAAATACAGCCTCACCATTTTGGCATTCAACTGATTGAGTAGAAGTGATGCGGCCCTCGCACTCGAACGTGCAGATATAGTAGTAATTGAAGAACATATCCTGACTGCCATCTGCTTTCACGGGCAAGACCATGGCATCAATGAGAAAGCACTGTGGTTGTCTTTGCGAGGCCATCACGTCCTCCCGGAGAGGCTGAACGTTCTGCCGCAACGTAGAAAATAAAAGCAACCGTTCCGCCTCGACCATTTCGGGTGAAATTTCCAACTCGGGCATTTGACGGCATATGTTCACAGCCTGTGCCAGTTGCTCATTTGTCGACAGGGAATCATTCATCAGGGTATCCAAATTAAAGCTGGCATACTGACTAGAAGTACTGTTGTCCAGCTCCCCGCCTTCAGTCTGATTGCATTGATCCCGTGGCAAGTTGAAACTTTGCGCCAGTCGCTGCTTCTCAGCTCGAAAGAAGTCTTTGCCTTTACGATAGGAGCGCCGTAAAGCGTTCTTGAGCAGACGATACCGGGCCATAGCGCTTATCGACAACACTTGACTCTCTGAGTGGACAGCTGCTGGCGTCAACTCGCCCAGACTGCGAGTCACGGGCATGGCTTCAGATACGTAAACAGGCTTGGCTTGTTGCGGTGTTGTCGGACAACTGATGCTTACATTGACCGAATGAGACCCAGCAAGATGATCGGCAATTTCAAGACTTAGTGCACGCGTTGGCTGAAAAATGGACTACACTTTGAATCAGGGAATCAAATCAATTATTACAAAAGCGGTTGCTTATGAATAAGTATATAAAAGAGTTGCCATATACCGATAGTAAGGAAATTTACAAATTTAAGATGCCCGTTAGACCATAGCGTTACTACTAAAATATACATATATATTATTTCGATCCATATTATTTTACATAAATCATGTTTAAAATGAATCAACGTAAATATATAAAATCTGTTTAGTTTTGTAAGCTTTCCATTATCAATTTATTTTAGGGTTCATAGAAATTTCAGATAGCGATCATAGGAAGAAATATTTCGAAAGTAAACAACTAAAGATTCCGATCTTTAGATTCCATAAATGATCACCACAATGAAGATTATATTTTATAGTAATGTACACAGTTCAGTTTGAATAAGTGATAGTGATAGCAAAGTATGTAGATCTTCAACTCAATAGGAATCAACAAAAAACTCTACCTTAGTTGTAAAGCGCGGACTGTGTTTTTTCGGCGTGCTCTGATTCTCCGAAGCCAGTGGCTCTATGTGTGTTGAGCTGTACTGACTCTGTCTAGGGGCGGTATAACAGCTATCATTGCCAATAAAATCATGATAGAGTTCATCTGAGAATTCGTGCGGCAAGTCATAGGAAACGCTATCCTCAGCCGTGGATTTTGCTCTCATTGGGGTCTAAAGAAGTTTAGCTTTATTTAATAAAGTTCTAAAAAAGTATGATTTCACTTACATTTTCCACCTTTTCTAAACGTGCATTGTTGTCCTGATCCAAAACGAGCTCACTGCGGCACAAGTTCTCCAAAAAGATTTCAGAACGTTGCAATGATAACTCGGACTTTGAAATGTTCCGATTTTGCTTTGGCGGCGAGTGTTGTTCGTGTATGTTATTAAGAGACTGATGCTTGGAGGGCTGTCGATATCGTGGTGAAAACCCGTGAGTCTGTGGCGTCAATGGTGATGGCGTTGTAGGCAATATGGACGCACTATACGAGGATGCGGTTTCTGGCTCAGCTGGTAGCGGGGTAAATTGAAAGAAGCTGCCATTCTTTAGTGATTCATGCAGAAATTGGCCCAATGGCGTGGGTGTGGCCATGGTTGTAGTTTGTGTATGTGTCTTTAAAGGTTTTTGAACCTTAGCATAGAGCGCTCCAAGATCTTGAACTGTCTGTGCCGAGGCAGTTGGATTTGGCAGACGAGACACCATGACTGTCGATACTGTGTTCGTGGGCGTTGGGATCACATCAAATCGTGCCGCCGTTCTGCTCTCATAATGTGGACTACCGCGTATGTGCAAGCAGTCTTCTTCGATTTCCGAGTAAATGGGTTCATGCTCTTGCTCGTGAATCTTCCGTGACGACAATGCCGCTGTTCGATGACTATCAGGACAATCAAAACCTTCATCATTTCCCTGAGTGCACTCCAAGGGCGAAAAACGGGAGCATTCCTATGAAAACAAATGAGTGAATATTTAAATTTAAATTCGATTACGACGCCGATAACAAGCAACTGCAAAGATACGATAACAAGCGATAACAAAGCGAACTGACGAGGAAAACAGCTGATTGGTATTTAGTTCCTACATTTGATCTTCCAAGGAAAGTGGCGACGGCTCTATAGATGGCGGCTTTCTCCTGATGAGATGTACAAAAACCTGTTCCGTAGCGCTCTCGTCGGTTTTCCCCACCTGCAAATACTCAGCCGAAACAGTAACAACCTCTTCTCCATTAGACTTTTGAGCACGCACAAAAACAAAAGCAAGAGGACAAATAACATGGAGCCGCGCTACGATTTAAATCGCAAGTGGGTGTTAATGCAAAAAAGTGCACCAAATAAAAAAAACAGCTTTAAGCTTGTATCCTACAATATCCTCGCACAGGATCTGCTTTTAGAGCATATGTATTTGTACGTAGAAATTCAGCAAAAGTGCCTGATCTGGCGTCGCCGTATGCAAAACATTCAAAGGGAACTGACCAAGCTCGACCCGGATATTGTCTGCCTTCAGGAGATGCAGTACGACCATTTGCCGAAGTTGGTCCACCATATCAGCGAGCTCAATGGCAAGCGGTTGGAGTATGTGTATAAAAAGAAGACAGGCAGCCGAACCGATGGCTGTGCCATTATTTACGACGCGTGTAAATTCCAACTTCTGGAACATCGTGGCCTGGAAATGTTTACGGAAAATGTGCCGCTACTGAACCGTGAGAATGTAGCACTCTTGGCCAAGTTTAGGCTGAAACAGCCCGAAAGGTTAACGGAAAATATGGACAAGGAAATAGTTGTGGCCACCACACACTTGCTCTACAATCCAAAACGCGAGGATGTGCGCTGCGCTCAGGTGCAGAAACTAATGAGAGAGTTATTAAACTTTGCCCGCGATGCCAATGATGGCATGATAACGCCCGTCGTACTGACAGGAGACTTTAACAGCACCATAAACTCAGAACCCATTGCGTTGCTCACAGACAAAAAGGCGGACGATACTACCTCATTCAATTTCGAGGCACTCGATCCGGGTGAATGCTACGCGTCGACGTTTCAGGGGAAATGGATCACTGTCGACTATATTCTACGCTCTGCCTGCGTCCAGAGCAAGCATCAACTGCAGGTGCAAGGCGTATACTCATTGCCCACGGTGGAGAGCTGCACTCGTTCGGGCCCCATACCAAATCATTACCTTGGCTCCGATCACTACGCTCTTGGCGCAGTGTTTGCACTTGCATAGATCATAAGTTCTGCCTTTGTTTACAAATAAACCAATATTAACCACCCATTATTCTAAAGAAGAAGAAAAAAAGAAACTCACCCTAAACGTTCTAAAGGCACGTTCATCGCTAGCCTCCAATTTGGCACGGATACTACTCAGTACATAGCCCATTTTATTGATGCTCACGTCCTGATCGAGATCCTTGTGGTAGGAGCGATAGGTGGTGGGTGGAACACTGCAATCAGCATTAAACTCAAGCTTGCGGCCACGTTGGGCACGCTGCACCTTTTTGGGAGGGGTTGGTGGCTTAACCGTGCGCTCGAAATCGAAATATGGTTGATGAGAATTCCCGAGTTTTTCAAGATGCGGCGTCGTGGCGACAGTAGTTGCTGAAGAGTTTGTAGTTAACGTGTGCTGGACACATGATTGCACTGGCGAGTGGTAGCTTCCTGGCGGAGATTGTGACGAAAGAGTATGCAGGTCTAAGTGTGATGTTTGCACGCCCACGGTACAAAGTCTAGTATTAACTTTGACCGGCTGCTGATTCGTTTTTTTTGGCGAGACAAACCGTAGAATTCTATTTTTTGAATTATTGATAAAGCTCTTGGACTTTTTTCGCAGACTGATGGACTTCTGACCGCGCTTCTTTCCATTCCAAGGCGATAGAGTACGCCACTGCTCGCCCCAAACAAATTTTTGATTTGTTGCTTTATTGGCTCGTGGATATTTAATTGGGGTGTGTTTCTGCTCCATATTGACAGCGAGATTCTCACTCATCGGACCATCAACGGTGTCGAGAGAAATTTTGTGCGGTACTTGCCACCCAACTGCACTTTGTGGCGCCGGTTCTGGTGCACTGGTTTTGAATTTTTGCTGCTTGTCATTGTTGTTCGCATTTTCATCGTAATTTAACATATCATTTATTTTTGGCTCGGTCCAGCCCAGCATAATCTCCTTCATAGGTTTATCGGCGACAGCATTTTTTCTATGTAATTGGCTCGCCGAGTGAATGTTTTTAGCATAGTGCACGCCCCGTTTAGATTCCACAGTACGCTCAATATCGCTCAACGATGGGCAGGTCGGCAGTAACCTCCGATGCGATTTCCGTTCTAATTCGGCTGCAAATAAGGGAATTATTAAGAAACGAGTTTTGATTCTTCTTTAAAAGGTTTCCTTAACAACCATGCTTTTCAAACGAGAACGAAGACAGTAAGGAGTCCCTTTCGAATGATTTTTACTGTATAGCAACTGCCTACTTACACAGTGGATAGGATTTGCGAGTGCTACTTCTACTTTTGTTGCTTTTGTAATTCTCTACGTCTTTGCTAGCCGAGGGAACATGGACCCCATGCTTGCTTAGGAACTCATCCACTACACGTTCAGCCTCGCGAACAGATGGCGTTGTTGAGCTCAACGATGATAACGAGAATTTACCATCGAGACTCTGCGCACTGCGTCGTGGTGGTTTTGGGGGCGGATGCGCCACATCACGCGGCTTAAAATTGACTTGACCATGGGAGAGTCGCTTCTGCAACAATCGTCCGGCGGCGCTGCTTCGACGCGTACGTTTGACACTGCTATGTCGAGCTGACGAAGTAGATTTAATGCTACCAGTGTTCTCCGTCCGATCCGTGTGTTCTGCTTGAGTATCCTCCTTTTCCGGCTCTGTCTCCTGCTCGCTGATGATCGATAATGCCGGCGCTGTGGGCTTGTATGCAGTGTTCTCCAACGGCATTATGTTCTTGGACAACTGCTTGGTGGGGGATGCAGTGGACTGCAGCTTCTGCTTGTTCACACGCACTTCAGAGATGACACAATTGTCCCGCAACTCCTGTATTATGTGTATAAGGGGAGCATCTTCTTCAACTGCACATAAACTGCTGACAGCCGTCAAAGGACTTTTCCTACTGGTGCTCAACTTTACATTCGGCGGGACTGACTGACGACGATGTTTTTGTTGCCTGTCTAAGTTGTTTGGTTGCTGTGGCTCAGGTGGCTGTGCGTTCATAGTCTGCTTGTATACAAACATATAAATATACATATGTAGATATTGATTAAAAAATTAAGGGTTAAGCTGTTGGTACACACCTTACTGCTTTCAGAGCGCCTGCTACGTCGCTGTTGACGCACGTGTGACTCACGTGTCGGCGCTATAGATGCACAGTCGCCGCTGTCGCTGTTGAAGCAATAGCAAAACCCATTCTTACAGGGCTTACTCTTACGCTCCTGTGCCTTGTTACAACGATTTTGTTGAATTAAATCCGCATCAGCAGATGTGCTTACAGGAGCGTGCTCACATTTCTCGCTAGGCGCGGGCATGGCCTGGTCGCGGCTTTGAGTTGAAACACGTCTAATACGACGGGCACGAAACTCGTTTATGCACTCCTGCAGACTGAACGATGTTGTGGACCCTGTTTCAGCAGAATCCTCATCTTCCTCCTCCTCGTCAGGGTCAACGTTGCTTTCTGAAGCAACAGTCGTCAGTGCTTTGGGAACCGGGTACTTTGAACCTGCAACAGTCTGTGAAAGTCTCGTTTGTTTACAATCTGCACGTCGCGAGAATTGTTTCAGCACTGTTTCAACACTCACCATCGCCATTTTAGCGTACTTTATATGTTATGGGAGATAAGCGATCTCCGACCACCGCTATCTGTAAAAAAGAAACCAAACACTAACACGTTGCACGTTTTCTAATGCGTTTGTGTGTCAATCGAAGCGACGCGCCTGCATTTCTCAATTCTCTTTTATGCCGCTTTTTCGGCGTTATCAGAGGCACAGGGTTGTCAAGCACCAGCAACAGTTTTAGTTGAGTGACAGCCCTGCCTACCAGCTGTTCGGCATGCTGTTACGTCGCCGCTTGGTTAACAAACTGTAAATTAATTATTAGACGAATAATATTGTCTGAAAATGTCAAATAGTCACTTATTTCTCAAGTCGGGGTTTCCACGTGCCCCCTTGCAAAATGGGCTTGGCCGATATGTGTGCCAGCTGCAGCGCATAACGCTCAAGTTTTGCAAGAACAACGGCTCCAGCAGAGGCATGCGGTATGTTTGGAAATGCTAACAAATTGCAGGGAATTATTTATTGTATTTATGCACAGGGATTTCATTGAAAACCATCTAGTGGATTTTGCAAAGGAGAATCCTGGCATTGTGGTTTATGTAAAGCCGCGCCGACATCGCACACCCGTACTAGTAGGCGAATACTGTGAGTAGCTTAATTTGAAACTTGAGTTTTTATAACACACGCTTATGTGCCGTAGTAAATGGTGAACGGGAATGGCTCAATTGTCGCAACAACACCAAGGATGAGATCTCAAAGTGGATAGAGCTGCTGAAGACACAAAACGGCTGCTCCAGCTCATTACGCTTGCGGAAAATGTGGCACACTGACGTACCTTCCGTACAAGGGCCCTGGACACCATTCCTGCTGCGTTCGCCCGATGCAAATAGCATAGAATATCCAAATATAGATGCATCCAAGCCCTTGGATATTCCGAAAACAGCCACCGATAAGCTCATTGAATTGTTTAAAAAACAAAAACTGGAGGCTGGCGATGGTGCAGAAGATTTGCTGAAGCAGAAGCGAGCCGAGTAAATATTCAAACTATTTAATGTTACAAATACAATTAAGTTGAGTTGGCTAATCGTTGTCTTTATTTGATAAATATTCAACATAAAGTGGTGTTCAAAAATTTAAAAATAAATACTTTATAACTAAAAGACAACTGTCATTGACATTGATAATTGAACAATTTATTGTCCCATCCGTGATATAGTGTCCGAGCCTTTATCTATAAATTTTGATATGTTTTGGTCTCTTGAATATCAGTGTTTAAATAATGTAAAATATCATAAATAATGCTTAATGTCAGGCCTCTGGGCTATGAGGCTTGGAATGTAGGGCGGTTTTGGGACTGACCCCTATCAGCATAGTAAATGATCTCTTAAAGGTACTATACAGAAAGGTGTTAACTTTGAACATATTGATTAACATTTTAACAATTGAGTGCGTGTTGTGGTTAACTTGTTTTTTGTTTTAGGTATTTCGGGATGTAGGAAAGCTTTTGGAGATCAGTAGAGAGGAAATTAAGTACATATAAAACTGCCTGATTTAGACGTTCAGGATTTTAGTTGGTATGTAGTTAGTATTGAAATAGGTCAATTTATTTGTACAAACAAACTCCCTTGCTATTTATATAAATAGGTTTCAATTTAGTCACAAAGTTAGTTTCCGAGTATCAAAACAGTAATACAAAAATCTGTTTTGTGCAGACGTTTTGCATAAAAAATGCACAAACACACATTTGCAATTACACATATGCAAAAACATGCTACAACGTACGTATATACGGAAAAGCATTTAGGTTTGTTGTTAATTCATAGACAAAATTTTCTTTTCTTAGATCTAAACATTTTATAAATTTTTGAAAAAAATTATAATATCGTTACACAATTAATAAAGTACATGTACTATATATGTATGTACAGTTAACAGGACGTTTTTGGATTTTTAAACTTTAGTTGGTAGTGTTAATTTCTTATCGCAATATCACCATAGAAATTGAAATTACTTTGTGTCTTCCATATGCGCTCTTTTAATCTCTTGCAACGCGATATAGCGTGCCTGACTTGTTTTTGGTGTTGGTGGGCTAATAAGCAAAAAGCATTTGCTCTTAACTAGTTAGTATCTCATGTTGTTGTATTTGGTTTGTAGTATAGCCTGTCTTTCATAGTTTCGTTTCGTGATTTGCGTAACTGCTGACCCATATGCTTACATGTCGCCTGTTTCCATCGCTGTATTTATATCAGCCACAATTTTTCCCATTACCTCACGATATGGCGAATCTGGTTTGAAAGCTGTCTCCAAAAACGAGGCATCGCCGAAGAAGTCGAATACTTCATCAATACGGTTCAGAGATTTATCTGTCAGATGTGGCTGCACTATGGACTTGAGCGCAATTTGGGATTCGGCTATTGATTTTTGCAGATATGGCAAATCAAAAGTGAAGTCCACCTCGTAGAATGATATGATGGATAGCTGTGTATGCTGAAAAACAGATATTAATTAACCAGTCTTTGGATTATATCGATTCGGAACTGTACCTGAAACTTGCGCTTAAAGTTTTCGGCATTTTGAAGCTCTGCCGGACTAAATTGATTATTGCGATGCAGAACACCGATTTTGATTACTATTTTTATAATATTCTTGATGATCTTCTCTGCACGCGCTTTGTTTCCGGTCTTATATTTGGAGGTGAATGGTCTTTAAGTAATATTGATTTATATAAGAATGAATATACTTACATGCATTTTACACAATCTGTATAGGTTATCCAGCAGCGATGCTGTTGAGCCATCTATAAAGGTCTTTGCAATGTTTTTGGTTGCCATGCGTGATAGGATTTTCTTTTGGGCTCGCAGCCCGATGTCGTGAGACTTAAACACATTGTCAGCCATCACTAGGGTAAATATTTGAGTTAGCAAACACATATTTACATATTTTAAAATGCACATATTTAAATTAAAGGCAAGCAAGAAACCAAAAGAGACAAGCACACATAAATCGTGTGGATTTTTACCTTCCAAGTTCCAATAGTCGACGCTCCAGAGCAATAAGCACTGGCGTAAGCCTGCGACCGACATATTGCTATGATTATTTTCATCCATTTGTGAGCACAATTTGTTAAAAAAATAAAGTTAAATACACTATTAAGCAATGTCTATTGATAAAGACTGGAATAATCGCAAAGCTTCCCAAGAGCACCGCACAGTGTACGATAATAAATGCAAGCGCACAGCTAGTCTATAGGTTACAAACACAAAAGACCACCGTACAAGTAAACTCTATTAATACGTCAGCTGCCACTTGATTCAATGAATTTTTTAAAAGGCCATTCTAACGGCTTCAATGCGGCACGATGTACGTGCCCATGCTATAAACAGAATGGGGCTTATACGATGACTTTTCCAACAGCCAAAAAGGCGCGTCTTTGGCCGCTAGTGTAATTTAATTAAATACAAAAAAGGAGCTAACAGTTTCACAGTCTCGTTTCTGAAGAGCATAATAAAGCAGAGGGGGAAGGCGGGACATGTAACGGTCACAAATGGCTAAAGTCACGCGAGGTGCAATGATACGGCTAAAAATTTGGGCTGGGCCCAAGGACAAACGGGCATTTTGTTGTTGGGCCGGAAGTGGGGAAATGGAAAAGGAATGCGGAAACAACATGTTCTACTCCAGTCAACCAACAACGAGTTTCCAACTCTTTGTAGAACGAATCGAAGAGTCAAGTTTATCTTAATGTCTTTTCGTTCATTGGCGTGTTAGATATGGCCACGGCATTGTTGTTGTTTTTATTTTGATTGTTACTGTCGCTATCTTTCGTTGCGATTGTGGGTGGTGACGAGGCTCGTGGTGGGTGAGGCTAGCGCCCAATGTTATTGATTGCAACAGGCTCGCATACCTTGGCGCTCATTCATCGCCGTTACTCACCAGTTTTTTGTTGTTGTAGGTCCTTGCGATATGTCCTTGAATGTTGTTGTGTTTTGTTTTTGTATTGGGTATTTAGATGCACCAGCCTTAACGCGTGTAAATAGAAAAGCACTACGTCCGCTTATTACATTTTTTATTTAGCATAAATTTATTAATATTTAAATATTAGCTCGCAGCAAGAGAAGCAACAACAGCACGCAACAAAACTACGCGTAAGCAGCGATTGGTGGAGCTGTTGAGCTATCGACAGACCGATAAGTAAAACTGAGGAGTTGCATTTATTTACTGGTTCGATCAATTTTGTAAACGAATAATTCCTTTCAAAGATCCGAAATCAGGTACGATGCGTTTATTCGTGTATCAGATTTAGATTTGTAATATATTTTGTCAAACAGTTGTTCATACTGTTCCATATAAACTGTGCTTTAGGCTTTTTTTTTGCATGAAATACTGGTCTGATTACTGTCCGCCCGTCCGTATGAACGCAATGATCTTGGAAAACATAAAAGCTTGAATAACCAAACTTGAAATATACATATATATATATATATTTTCTATACTAACTCTCTTATGAAAAGCAATATATTTGAAGTGAATATTTTGAAAACTTCGTGAAAATTAAACACATTTATAATTCTGAAAATGTCACAAAATATTATGATCAGAGCTAATTAACTTTTAATTAAAGATAAAATACACCATAAATTACAATTCATTTTACGTACTTGTAGCACAGAAAATATTAAATAAATATTCAAATAATTCGATATACGGTTAATATTATACATTTTTTGTAAATAATCTATTACATTTAAATATGTACGAGATATAATCAGTTTATATTTTCTGAAAAGTTATATAAGCACATTGCCAAGCAATATTACAGTTGAGACAATAAATTTGTATAACGGTCCTAAAACCACAAGTGGATTTATTTTCTCCCATACATATACACATAGAGTTCTTCAATATCTTAAATTACTGTGCCGCAGTTTTTACTCATTCGACCTTTTGGTCTCTTCTGGACTATATGGTGTCATTAGGTTTTCTGAAAATGCTTTAATGCTGTCTGGACCACGCACTTCCTTCTCAAGCAATGGTAGTTTTGTAACATGAAAATCTTCATATAAATCGGCAATTTGATCCAAGTACTTCTCTTGAATCTTATAGCGGGAAGCGCACATGCTGCAAGAGTTTTGGGCCTTCTTCATAAAGAGTAACTGATTCACAATTATATTGTGTACATCGATGCCGCATTTGGTCAGCTCCTGGACAAGACGCTCTGTTTCATACAGGGAAAAGAATTCCGCAATGCACACGCAAACGAATGTTGTTTGATCCTACAATAATTAATTAAGATTAATTAGATCTCATCCCAATTAATTAAATGTCTACCCACTGGATTTTTAAACTGTTCGTTGACTTGTGTTATAACGCGAAGCATATCGTCCAGCTTTTGCGATAGAGTGTCCGCATTCACATCGGCCATGCCTAGCATCGACACAAACTGTGTGAGAAGCGGCGCCACCTTCATCTTCAGACGTAACAACTTTCCCAGACCTTTCTCCACAACCTGCGGGAAGGCTATCAGGCGCAACGTGTGTCCTGTGGGGGCCGTATCGAAAACGACCACTGAGAAGTTCATGCCCTTGACCAATTTCATAACCTCCGCATAGCTCATGGCCTCATCAATACCAGGCAGCGCATTTATCATCTCCTGCATAACGCCCTTGCTAACGCGCAAAGCTTCGTTGTCTCCATCAAAGTACTCCTCGGGCAGTTCATTGAGTCCGGCATTAGGATCAATCTCCATCGCGTATAAGTTGTCAAAACCATTAATCTGTAGCGAAACACACTTGTTCACATATAAATTTATACATATGCATGAATGTATAAGTGACGCACCTTGGTCGGCACTTTCGTGAACTTCTGATCGAAAGCATCTGATATATTATGTGCAGGATCTGTGGAGATAATAAGTACCGATTCGCGTACTTTTGCTAATTGCACGGCCAGGCTGGAGCTGTAATTTGCATTGCAGTAGAATTTTTTATGATTGCTATTGTTATTACAAACTATCTCACCTGCAGGTTGTCTTTCCCACACCGCCTTTGCCACCGACAAAGATCCATTTCAGCGATTCCTGCTCCACCAAGTTTTGCAGATTCGGCGCCAATGGCTCTAAATTTTCAGCCATTATTGTTATTTACTTGAGACCACGTACGTTTAATTAGAAATTTTTCTTGAATTGCTACGGCGTGCCGTCTGCCGTCAATCCTTAATTCTTGATCGACTTGGCAGCCCCATAATAAGGTATCGATAACTAAGTGCAACGACATATCGTCAACAAGAAATCGAAAGGCGCGTGAGAATGCGAGCAATTGGAATAATTTCTTACGACTGTTTATGGCAACTATGGTCTGCGTCTGTATACGATAATATTAATATTTCGCATTTCTTAATTGTAAGATGGTTGCATGGTGCGTCGATGGTTAAAACATACCATAGTCAACGATTACACCAAAATAGTATACATTCTAACATAGTTTATTTTAGAATAGGTATTTTCAATGTGCGGCTGAAAGCATGATCTTACTAACGATTAGTTGGAAAATAACGGAACCGGACCAAGTGCTAGAGAAGGGCATCCCCTTCGTGACATGCGTGATATTAGGGATGATACATTCCATCTGCTGCACCCTACTGTTTTACACATATCGACGTTTTTCTTACACCACTAGCCCGCAGGACACAGTGCACAGAGCCTAGAGTATTTATTTATATTTATTTATTAATTAAAGAACGCGTTGCTTGACACTTAATAACAAAATCCTCCGAATATAACATATGAAAGTTGGAGATGAAAACTCCAAATGAAAACTCAAAGAAAATGTTGATAAGAAACTAGCAGTGAAAGCATGTGAAAAGTGTGGAAGGAAAAGGCGTACAACCAATACTAGAAAAAGGAGCAAATCCTGTATGTGTGCGTGTGCGTGCGCGTGTGTGTCCATGCGCGCTTAAGATTTTTGGCTGCTGCGTTTATTCGTAAGAAAATTAAGTTTAAAAAATCATTGTGTTTGGCTTGTGGGTGTAAACTTAAAGCGAAAAGTGATCGAGAATAGTAAAAAATGTGGCCAAAAAAAGGCTTCACAAACGATAACGGTTCTTTTGGTTCTCTCTCGCACACACACACAGCGAATAGGAAATCTTAACAAGTGAGCCGAAGCCGCACCTATAAAGTGGGCGTAGATTAAATCCAAAGTTACAAAAAGTGTTCATTTAAAAAACAGCCAATTTTGCACAAATGATGAAATAAATAATTAAACAAAACAAGAAAACGCACACCAATACATTCGCAGCAGGCAGATCCATTCAGCATACATAAATACATATATGCGTACATACACACCGACAAACAGTCGCACGCACTCACACAACATAGAAAGCATACAGGCCGCTGCCGCTGAGAGGAAAAGCACAGTGCAAAAAGGACGACAAAAAAGGGAAGAAGCAGCAGCAGCATCGGCACGCAACGTGCGCGAGTGTGTGTCTGTGTGTGTGTGTGCGTTGGAGAGATGCGGGAAGATTGAAAATAAACGTGTAGTAGAGAATTTTTGAAGCACACTCCAGCATCCAATAACAACCACCACCACAACTACCACCACCAGCCGCTCCCACCACCCAGCGAGACCCTCTAAGCGGGCGCTGCTTTTGAGACATGTCGTAATGGCCAGAGAGGTAAGTGAGAAATCCAAGCCAAGCAAATCGCGCGGGCGGGAGGGCCGGCATACTACCTACAAACATATGTATGTACATTCATATATATATATATATATATATATATATATATATATATATATATACTACATACATACATACAAACACACACTGTTATACATACATACGTACATATGTAAGTATATATGTATTTTTAAAAATGTACATTTATTGTAAACTAAAATCCTTGGCGCTCAGCTAAGTTTATTTTTTTCTCTGCTGTCATTTGTTTAAAGTCTCGGCATGTCTCGACTCCATTCTCATTTATGTACATTTTAGTTACTTGAGCCCCCACAGCTTCGGAACTAAGCTAACTTAAGCATGTGGGTGCATTAGCTTCTACGGTTAAAAGAGTGTGTGTCTCTCTTTCAGTGTGTGTACGAATGTCTTATGCAGTTTCTTCATTTCGTCTCGCTTTGCGGGTGAGTGAATAGCTTTGACCCAAATAACTAGGGTAATACACCCCGCAGAAGGCTAAGCACATGTAATTGTTGTTGCTCTCGTTTACTTTTTATTGCTTTTGCTTAGTGGCATATAGTATTGTTGTTGGTATTACACAAACATATTAACCTTTTATTTTTCTTGGTGAAAGGTGTTTAGGGTCGAACTATTGACACTCCCATATGTGTGCACTTGGTAATAAGTGGGTGTGTAGTGCGTTTAAATGCCAAAAAAAATTTATAAACAGTATTGCTGTCGGCGACTTAGCAGTTCCAAAACATGTGCTACACGTTAATTATTTTGTTAACTACATTTGTGAGAGTTGAATTAATCGCCTAAACATCTACGCTATTCACCCATGAAACAATTTTAAAAAGTTATATTCGTTTAGTACAAATTGGGTTTCACATTTGAATAAAATGTGCGCGGTCCTCCATAACATTCACTTCACACCACTGTGCACTGTTAACAATTGGGAGACAATTGCTAGGTTTACTTGGACCTGGCAACGCTGTTCGCCAATTAGAGAGTGCACTGCAATAAATGTATGTATGTAAATAAAATTTGCAACTTGCACTTGCTCATTAAAAATGACGCTCTAAATGCTGTCATTGTGTTTTAAAAAAATATGAAGATTTTACAAAAGATTAATATTTCTTAATTAAATGTGCACTTATTAAACGAAAACGCCGTAAACTACATTGAGATGTGAAATATATGCCTCGTTGTATGCAACAGTTTTTATTGCAAACAAACGTTATGTGACAAATTGAATGCACATATGAAGTGTTGATTGAATGATTTCTGTTCAAATATTTACAGTTTACAATTTGTTTAAAGTGCGCACAAGTAAACGAATGAAAAAAGAACACGAAAGCATGGCCGAAGATGGGAACCAATTGAAAACCTTGTGCAACCTTCGTGCATGTGTGTAGGATTGTGTTTGTGTGTGTGTGTGTGTTTGCGTATGCCTAACTGACAAAGCTTCTGGCATTTAGCATATAAAGCAGCGATGGACGATATGCCACCGAGTCGGAATACTTGTGGAGCGTTCGTGTGTGCGCGCGCGTTTTGTTAGCTTCAGCGCGCCCTGATTATATCACGTAGAAAATGTAGGCCAAAGCACAAATGTTACTACCACAGAACACACATACATACATACTTATAAACATGCATACATACCTACGCAAAGATGAGTATATGTGTGCATATACGAGTCAGTCAGCTGCAGTCAGTCGCGCTTGCAACGCGAAATGCAAACAAAATGGCGTACAATGTGTATTTATTTTGTAACTCGCCGTGAAAGAGCATAGAGAAAAAGTAGCTGCAAGCATTAAATAAATAATGAATAAATAAACAATACTCATTATTTTCCACGAAAGACACGACAGACGTCGGCTGCAGGCACTTGTGCTTATATTACAGCGCTCCGTGAGTCAGGAGCATGCCTCTTTCTCTCAATGCAGTGCTGGTGATGTTCTTGCTCTAAAATTGTGCTCAATTCTCTCTCCTCTGTACGATTTGGCTGCGCTGAGGCTCTCTTACTATCTGTGTGTGTGTGTGTGTGTGTGTGTGAGAGAGTCTGTGTCTATGCGTATATGTATGTGTGTATTCCATTGCATTTCTGTGTTTGCAATCAAAGCACACGAAGACGAGAACGACAGGAGCAGCAGCACCAGCAGGAGCAGCAGTAGCAGCAACAACTGCGACAAACGCGACGAGTGAACGCCGACGATGTTGACATGCAGCCCCAGCCCCAATGGAGGTAACAGCAGTAGCAGCATCAGCAGAAGCCTCAGTGTGTCAGTTTGTGGCAGTCAGGCAGTCGGAACCAAACAGTCGCAGCCAGCAAGGATGCTACTTTCATTTATGAGCGCTTTCACATGCTCCGAGATTCCGTTGGCAGTTTGGTGAAATATTAAATTTTAACTGGGTGTGACAACTGCAGCAGTAGGAAACATCATCATCATCATCAGCAGTAGCAGCAGCAGTACCAGTTAAAGTGGCATTAACGCTCAGGAAAAATAAAGAAACAATTTTATACAATACACAAATTTTTATACATGTGTGTAACATAATTTTAAAAATATTGTTGCAAAGAAACAATGCTAAAGTGTGCCACTAACTCAAAACGAGCAAACGCAGCTCCCCCACCAATCCAAAGAAAAACTCTGTGGTTTCAGGCACATGCAAGTGGCGAAAGTCGCGTAGTAAAGTGAAAGTGCGAAGGTCAACTCTCGAAACTCGCTGTAGCTTTAGCTGGCGCTGGTTCGGTTACGTTCTACGCCTGTCCGCCTGCCTGCCTGCAATTACAATACACACTAGGACATTATAGGTACATATATATCTATGTATGTGTACATAAGTAAAAGAACGTACATACATATGTACATATGTACGACGCACCCAAAATTGTTGAATTTATGCACCAGTTATCACCCACAAAATGCCAAGTGAAGTGTTCGTTTAACAGCAGTAAATAAAATTAACCATTCAATAAAAATAAAAAATACCACAAATTAGCATGTGTGCAAACATTTTTTAACAATGGAATGTTAACGAATTTGTAAACAGCATTTAAAAGCAAATTTCATGCAAATTATAACAATAAACGTGTTTAATTCGACGTAAGCTTTAAATTTAATCAACGCAAACGAACGATTTTTTAGAAAATCAAAAACATTTTATACAAGTATTTTTCATAAAAACATAAATACATGAAATCCGTGAACGTATCTATAAAACGCTGCCAATTAAACTAACAAACATATTTTAATCTTGTTAAAAACAAAAATCTTTTAAATAAAAATTTACACCTCACAAACATATTTAACGCGTCCTCCTTCCATACATCCTGTGAAACACAATAACACAGACACGCAGGCTGGCTAGCAAAGCTGAATCAACCTGCCCCGCCACCAGCGCCACAATGTGGTCCAATGCTTTGTGCACGCTAGGCGTGACAAAGCCGCTCTGCAATTGTCTGAGCATCAGACAAGTGGCAGCCGCGGCCGCAGCAGCAGCGGCGACGCAGGGCGGCGCAGCAATAACCACCGGACCTGGACCAACGGCAGCGGGAAATGTAGCTGGGGTAAACACGATTAATACGTATTTAATGCGATAATGAACAATACAAAATTACACGCACAAAAACACACCACCCACTGAACGAATTGCATTTAAAAGGGCCAGTAGCAGTGACAGTGACATGGGGCAGGGGCAATACACGCCCATTGGTGGCAGCAGCTGATGACTGCCATATGGCAATGGAGCGCAGCAGCGGCAGCGTGTTTGACCTATCCCAATGCACACATACATTAACACATACTGCGCTTATACGTACACTTAAAGAAAAATATGTGACCTTAAGTTCTATCTGTGTTTATCAAAACTAGTTCACCGTTTTTAAAAGGAAGGAAAGGAACAAGAAGTCGATATACAAGTAGAGCCGATTCAGCAAACATTCAAAATGTGCTAGCAAATTTGTCTCTTCAAGCCTTTCTGAGAAAATTTCTAAATGGAACAACTTTGAGGTCTACTTGAACTTGAAATCTCAATTTATATATTTCAATATGTGTATCACCTCGTTTGTTTCTACAAGTAATTGTTCACATAATTATATTCATATACTTGTATGTGTGCGTGCGTGAAACAACTGATTTTCGTTAAAAAAAACTCTTTTTGCAATTGCTCCCAACAGTATAATTTAACAAGTCCAATAAGCAACGTCGAGTGAATTTCTTGTAATTTTTCAACATTTTCACTTGGGTTGGGTCTGTATGCGCGTGTGTGTGTGCTTGTATGTGCGGAGGGTCGGTTATCTTGTATGAGACTGTGTATGTGTGCGTATATCTGTTGTTGGTGTTGTTGTTATATGGCTCGTGTGCTGCACTCGTTACTGGGTCACTGGAGCGCCACACTCATGTCCTTGCAATACATTAAACATGGCTTGTTTTTGTCGTTGTTGTTGTTTTTTTGCATTTGGCCGAGTGAAAGCGCTGTTAGCTTACAGCGACAGCCTCTGTCAACTGTTAACAGTCGCAATCATAACAGCACCAACAGCAGTACCAGCGACCACAATGCAACAGTAACATCAATAACAGCAACAACAATAAAAGCAGTACTATGTGTGCGTGGGGTGCTCTACATATTTTATTAATTGATATATGTATATATTTTTTTAAATATGGTATATTTGTTTACTTTATGGGTGGCCAATTTTCATTTATCTGAATTCTGCAGGCTGTTGGGTATTTGTAGTGCCGATATTAGCGGATCTATATACAAAATTGACACAATTTATCAGCAACTTGCTTGCCAATTGTGGCCTTGACATCAGTGCCGCGCTTACGAGACACAATTAGTGGCAAACTCTAAAGCAGGCGCAAAACGTCCTGCCACGCCCACTTGTGCGCACATCGAGCACTTGGAAGATGACAATCCAAAGGTGTCACGCCCTGGCACACTCATACACACACCCACACACACTCATAGACTATACTCGTACTCGTAGTGTTGCTAATCTGATAGCGCCTGGTTACTAATTATGTCGTATGTTCCCTCTAAATGTCCCTTTACAGGAGTCTCGCGGCAAGCGACCATTGAAAATCTGGGACAGTTGGCGTAATGTACGTAAAGGAGTCGTAGTTGGTACGTTTGAGGAGCTCTTGGTGCGGGGCAAAGACAAATTAGGGGTTCCTGCTTCAGAACCTGTACGTGTTGTTCTGGAGTGTGATGGAACCCAAATCGAGGATGGCGAATACTTCCGAACGCTGGCCAATAACACGGTATTGTTGTTGTTGAGGCAAGGTGAGCGTTGGTATCCGACTGGGGTGGATGTCATAAAGGCTGGTAAGTGAACCCTCCTCTTCCAATTGGGAGAACACTGCAGCCAGGCAGCTCATTGATTGTATCTTTTGTTTTCAGCCATATCAGCTATACCGAAAATCGTCTGTGAGACGATCCATGCACTGGAACTGCACGATGAGACACCATCGTGGAAGATTATGGATAACAAAGGGCGTGTTACGGTCGTACTGCACTGGGATCAGCGGCAGGGTGGTGGGGGCGGAGGCGGCGGCGGGGGCGGTAGCAGCAGTGGCGGTGGCGGCATGTGTATGGGGGCCGGTCTTGGCAGCAGCAACGGACTGCTGTCTTCCGACAAATATTCGCCCTCCAAGAAGGGTCTCTCTGCGCAGAGTTCGCTGGACAACAAATCGGTATCATCACAATCGTCACAGCCTCGCTACGCCAGCCCACAAATAACCGTCATCAGTGATGATGGGCCGGCGAGTATATACCATCCGGGCGGCGTGGTTCTGCCGCCAGGCGTTGTGATACCTGGCACCAGTCGCCGTCTCTCCAAGCAGGGCGGATCTTTTGACAGCGCGGTAGGCGCCGTTCATGTGCACACCCCTGAATGCGCCCATCATGCGCATACGCCCAGCCGCGCAGGCAGTCCAAGCACCACAGAATGTGATTTCCATTGCTGTGCACTGCACGAGGAGGGACGCAAAATAGCCGTACACAAGAGCGTAGCCACCTCACCCATACAGGACGGCAGCAGCAGTCCACAGCCCCAGCAACAGCATCAACTGCAGGCGCATCAGACCACACTCGCAATGTCATCGGTTATGGATCCTATGTTGGGAGGCAGCGGAAGCATGCAGAGACGTTCCTCGGGCGCCAAGGGTCATGTTCGTTTTCTGGACATCGCACCAGAGCGCGACAGCTCGGAGAGTGAGACGGAGAACACTGTAATGGAGGATGATAAGACGACTACGGAAAAGTTTCTGCTGCTCATAGATCAGCTGTCCGTAGATCAGAAGCGGCATCTTAGCATCAAAGACATTGGAATCATACTGGAGCGTCTCAACTCAAAGATCTTGGATGTGGAGCGTTTGGATCGTGAGTCTGAGTCGGACGACTGTTACAATTGGACGATAAAGGCCACAATACGTGGCGATGCGTTGCGGGAGCTGGGCGTTATCTATAATGGCAACTACTATGCCATATCCGAGCATCCTGGTTACAAAGAGGAGCTTGAGGAGAACGGTGAGGAGGTGGAGGAGGAGGATGAGGAGGACCGAATATAAGGGGAAACAAGATGAATACCATGCAAGCGATAATAGTAAGTTAAAAAATAAATAAATAAGTGAAAACAAAAACACACATTCAACGTTATGGCATACCAAACAATTCATAGTAACTAAATATTAACACAAAGTGAGAAAGAAACCAACCCCAGAAAAATGAATAACATTGAAGTATCAGTAACTAGCGCATTTTAGAAGAAGTAACCAAGACGATTATATACATACTACATTAAAAATGAAATACAGATAAAGAAAGCAACCGCACATTGTACAATAGTGAAGTAAGCATCAAAATGATTTAACATTTTTGGACAACCATAACAACAAATGCAAAATTTAACAAAACTGAATAGAGGGAGAACTCACGAGTAGCTTGAAAACATTGCAAAGCATACTATACGAGTATTTCGTGGCTATTAGCTACTTGACATACATGCTATATAGTTTCAAACCGATGTTAGAGAGCGCCACAGAAAGTAAAACCGAATCGAGGCGAAGAAAGTCGACGAAATGCACTTTTCAAATCCTAATTTTGACTTCGAACACATACATACATACACACCCAGGCACACACACGCACACACACACACACACATTTTTAAGGGAAACTTGCCTTATTTAGTAGTAAACCCAATTTCTAACTAAGTACATAGAGAGTACGAAAGGCTTCTGACATACGAACCAGACTATAAACAACAACAATCTGAGCACGACGCGACGACAGTGACAAACATAAATTACACAAAAACTAAGAAGTTCATTAAAATCATCAGGTTAGTAAGACTATAGCGAACTGCTCAATTTTCCAATAGATGTCCTTATGTAAATTGATGTTGTGTTACTTGATGAGCTATGTGAATACAAAAGACAGAAGCATAAAACAGCAACATACACGTAAATGAAAAAATACGAAAACAAAAACGATAAAGAATACAAATTTAAATACAAACGAACCAATCTCACAGACTCACATGCAAGAAATGCAATACATTTTAATTCAAAAGTCGCATTCACGTTATTTGTAAACTGCCAACAACAACAAAAAAAAATGGTGACTTTATTGGCATCACATGGGTTCATTCGCAAGCTTTAGAAAGTGCCAAAAATGTTTGTCCATGTTAACGTGGCTTGTGAGTTAGTGCTGTTGACCAGTACGCTGCAGCCAATAATATCCTCGGGAACCCATTCCCAATTAGTGCCAAATGCAAAGAAATTTGAGTTATGAGTATTGGTGTACGACATGGATATGGAGTATAAAGTTAATGTACAAAACTGGTAGACTAATGCGAAACTAACCAACTCATTCCTGATTTACTCATACGTATAATGATCAGAAGTTTCTGATTGTTCATTGCCTTATTGTACATACAAGAAAAGCTTTCAACATCTATTGGCGTGTTTCTAAAGAGTTCCTCAAATTATTTTGGCTCAGTTCCTTTATAAATTCCCTTAATCAGACATATACGTGTATTCCTCCTGCTTCCATGTTTGTTGTTTACATTTTAAGTACTGCAATACCTTACTCGTACATGTGAGTCCTCAGAAATCAGCATGAGGAAACTGCCGTTATTTGTAGTGTTGTACAACTTAAAAACATAGCGCACAACCGCCAAAAGAATGGCATTTAACATAATGAAAACAATACAATGATCGTATGCTTGAACACGTTATGAATTGTAGTTATATTTATACATAGTAGAAAAATACTTAAAAGTCACCAAACATTTTATATAAATGAACACATTGTGTTGTCCTCGAGTCCCACATAGCCCTAAGCGCGTTACGAGTATTGAGTTTCTTCCAAAAACCGAAGATGCGATGATTCATATTGTATTTATATGTAGATATAAATGAAACACTGCCAGCATAAAGGAAATTACAATTTCTATAAATATTTGCTCAATCATTCGTTTCCTTTTAAGTTCCCATCATATTGTAGAGTATCCTTCATTTACTAAAATAAAAATCGCGAGTGCTATGAGTGCCACAACAGGAGGTTCTTAGCACATTCGTGCACATACAGAAAGAAGCAGAAACATTCACATACTAGTTGATTAACGAATTATTCACACCAGTTAAGGTAAATGTATCGTTTCAAAAGCGAATTTAACTCCTTCGGCCCACATTGTGTTGAGGATCTGTACAAAATTTCCGGGTACTGAAGGGCAGCTGCTATGCCTCTCGACTGATTATTACTATCTTTCAACAAAAGTAGCTGGCCTACATAGCTCTCTTTGAGCTCTATGATGTACTCTTTGTCTCGGGCTCGATCCATCAGATCTTCGGCTTTTTCCTCATCTCAACACACACACACGCACACAGACACACACACACACAAACTCTCGCACACTCAAAGATACATTTAAAACGCATTCTTTACAATTTAGTTAATGGACAAATAACGGTAACAATTCAAGATCAGCCACAACTGTCTTCTGCTCCATTATAAATAATTTTAAACAAAGTTTGTCCATGGCACAAAAAAACAACAACATATAATTATACATATATTAAAAAGTAAACCTAGTATGTGTAAATGAATGAATAAAGTAATGGCGTTCAGCTTATAAAAAGGTAACTAAAACATAGTTCTAAAAGACATGGCGTAAAAAATTCACACAATTAGTAAAGAATAAATTCATTAGCGTTGTTTTAATTTACGATATAAGTCAATAAAAGAGAAGAGATAGAGCAACAAATATGATGATACATATGTATAAACAAACACAGCCGCAGAGTACAGAGACAAGTGCTGGCAAAAGGCACTACTATATTTAAATACATATATAAACAAGTACATAAATACCTATACATTACCCGAATACATCGCATAATAATAAGAGAACTCGCAGTATATACATACATACATAATAATAATAATAATAATTAAAATAATTGAAAAGAAAGCTCAAACTTCCACATTGACTTTTTCAACTGACTTCCATAATCATAACCATTGTTAACACTTAACTATAGAAAATATCGCTTTAAACACAAAAAGTTGAAAGTTTGTGAACGTATTTTCCTTGGTTCGCCTTTCCTTTTGTTACGTTTTGGTAGGTCAAGAGCTAATCCCAAAGTTTGTAGCCGATTACCGCTATTTGTGTTGATCTGCTTAATCACAAGCTCAAAACTGAATTCAAACTCAATCAACCCGACTAATCCGCTCTCCGATTTTTACTCGTCACACTCTGTGTAAATGCAATCAGTTAGATTTATAAGATAAATGAAAAACAAACGGTGGAATGGATTGAGATGGTCAGAAGTTATGAAAGCAAATAATTCACTTGTACTTGTATTAACTAGGCTACAAACAATTTGCAAATATTGCTCATAAATGAAGCATAAGAATGAAAAAATGTATTGTTATGGCAGTTGCACACAGTTGCCAATTCGAGATAAATATGAGTAGTAGCGAACAAATCGTAATACATAGATAACAAATAACGTAAAATCGAAATGGAAATGGAAAATTCGGGTGACGCATCATAGGAGGAGCATACGAAAGCTAATTTATACGTTATCGACATTGTTTTTAATATTATGAATAACGAATAAATTGATCAATTAATAACATCTATAAAAGGTACATTGTTTTTATTAATTTTGTTAACGAAATAAAACGTAAAAAATGCGAATAAAAACAAAGAAAACGTTTAATAAAACAAAAATATACAATGTAAAAATAAAGACACATTATTTTTAGCGTAAGAGATTAATAAGCAAATAAATAAATATATAAATATATATATAAATATGTATTTATTTATTTATTTATTATATATAAATATAATATATATATATATATATATATATATATATATATATATATATATATATATATATATATACAAATACATGCAAAAACAATTCAATTAAAAACAAAAACAACAAAGTTAAAAACCACAAAAAAGTAAAAACAAGCTCAGTTGTGAGAACACGGGACAAATTTTGTTGAAAGCATAAACCACAAACAAATGTAAAAGAAAACTGATTGAGAGAGGCGCTATTATTAAAACATTACATTATATACATATTCCATACAAAACGGCAACAAAGCAATGAGCAATTGAAAAAAAAACAACAAATACAAGAACAAATGTACCGAACCTTTAACAAGATAGCAATGTGCTATCAACAAGTGAGCAAAATAAAAACTATTTAAAATCGAGCAAAAATTTGCATGACAAATTAAAACGAAAAAAAAACAACATTATAATATGCAGCATGAAAACTCATTAAAAATAAGCGTTTCAAATACACTAAAAACAAAAACAAAATTATAAAATAGAAATGTCTCATAACATTAAAAAAAGTGAACATTCACAATGGTTCAAAACACAATAAAAATTCGATTAACAACAAAATAAAAAACATAACAAGGTTATTTATGATGCGATTTAAACAATAAAAGGAAAACTAAATAAAAAATTTAAACACAAAAATACAAGCTTTTTTCTGCAAATCCTATAAAATTCTAATGCAGAACAGAGAAATGTGGATACAACATTTCCTTTGGTGTTCATAGACGGAAATTGGAAACGACCGGAGTCTATCAAGCTCACATAGAATTCTGACAGATCTGGACAAACGGAGAAGGGAGTATATGCACGGACAATAATTGACAATCTGTCATCTGAGGCGTTAGGTGCTGCATCATGACTTCTGAAAGAGTTGTGCCAATAGAAGATTGGAGCATCGAAACCGATCTGACCAATACTTATATTTGTGAAACAACTATCTCCATTACCTGCAGCCCTTTTTGAGAAAAACAATCAATGCCCCACTTAGTCGTACCCTTAACTTAGGTTCCCATTGGCGGCCGTAAAGCTCTGGATCAAAACAAAACTATAACATTGCACTAATGGATTGAAATGTCTTCATTGATGGACATGGTCGAGTTCCATTTGGGATATTACTTTAGTCCACTTTAGTTTGCTTTCGTTATTTCGATAAAGTATCTATCAATAAAATCCCCATTTATATCGCTTTTAAAAACGTGACAAGCTTATCATTGTGTACTGTGATTCGCAATCAGACATATAATGTTATTGATATGGTTTCTAATTTGTCATAATCACTCCGCTGCTTTTTTAAATTCACCTGAATATGCGTTATCTGCTGCGCCCGACGATTACTTATCTGTATACAAAGAAAAATTCTTTTTATTGGTAAATAATATTCTTTGCTAATCTGGTAAGCGATAAGTTAAATGATTTTAAAGGACAGGGTTTAAAAATGTCTTATAAAGTATGCACGTGTTTTTACATAATAATATTTTAATATTATTTATTGTTAGTTCAAGTAGATATGGTTCAACCAATTTTAATATAGTGTAGGGCCGTTTTTTATCCATATATATATTTTTATGCTATTTGATTATAAGGAAATTTACACGTTTCTTACAAAAAATGCAGAGCATTCTTTAAATTCTGTAAAATCCTTGTACAGATCAGAGAAATGTGGATGTGTGCTGTTCGTAGACAACAAATTGGAAAGATCGGATTTTGCGTCCACAAATCAACGCATTTCGCAATATTATGGACGCAGATGAAACAGCAGCAGCACAACGATTTATCCATCAAATTAGAAAGTAGCAATTACTATACTATATATGTATATATTTTATTTATGATTTATAAAGCTATTCCTCTACTGATTTCTTTGGCTTGTGGAAATCGGTTTGGGTGAGTAATACAAAGTCATTATTCATACATTTGGGAAAAGGACAACCTCCTAGAAAGGAGTAAGTTTCAAATGTAATACTGAAAATACGTAATGTATTAAATTATCCTTGGGTGATGGTTTTATGTAATGTTTTTTTATAACTCTTACAGGTTCCTTTGTGAGTTATTGGATTGCATTCATCGAAGAAATCCAGCTGACCTGCCAATGTCTCAATGCCTCGCCACTTCGGCTCGCTTCTCTTATCGGAGCGAACTGCTTTTGCGGTTCTTCACTGAGTCCTATCAGTGAAGCGTCATTGAAGCCGTCCGTAAATACAAGTTTTAAAATTACTCAATTCGCAATAAACATGTAAGAACAGCACGTTAGCTGAATGGTTGATTTATCACTCTTCGATATGTGTTGACAATTAAACTGAAACTGTTAAAAGCTTTAAACAATGATGCTGAGACTATTTTATCAGCAGATTCTTCAAAGACAGAAATTACAGTTGTCGTGGTGATATCTTCACTATATCACATATTTCCAGATCGACAACAATTTGTTTTTAGCTTATACGCACAGTTTTTCTGGTAAGTGTACTCGTATATTATAATACTGCATTAATTATTCATAGAATACGAGTAGTTAACGAATTTCTAAGTATGGTAAACAAAAACACTTAATATATGACTATGAATAATGATAAAGAATAAACAAAAGCAACGCTGATACGGCATACATAGCATATACATACAGATCAATAAATAAGCTTGGCAATGGACTGGCAAGCCAAAAAAAATCCCCGTTTTTTTTTTTTATTGATTTCTCGAGCACCTTGTTGTGCATTTTCAAAACATGGGGCCGATGGGTCTCATATTCAATAGTTTCGTGATCACACTCAGCCATAACTCATTCAAACAGATGTATTTACATACATATGTATATACATATATATGTATGTAACTTTATAAAGAATGCATTCCACGTTCCCCTGGGCGCATTAATTAAGGTACTCGACTTATGAACGCGTAACAAGTTATATTTATTTTATTTATTTAACGCGAAAACAAATCAATACAAAACACAGCACAGAAAGTAATAAGTATAACATTAAGTTTAAAATGTGGGCCTAGCAATAAAAAAAAGTGCCACGAGTGCTTCGAAGTAATTCATCATCGGCGAGAGCAGAGAAAACAAAAAGTCGCCTCGAGCTCAGTCATTCACCGATTCCATCAATTAGAAATATGTATGTTCGTATGTACGAGTATATGGCAATGTGTCGCTCGTCATATTCATTTAACTGGGCGAGGTGTTGTATATGTATGTACGAGTACATATTGTACAATCAAGTATGCATTCGTATGGGTATGGGACACAAGTTCTACAACATGCTCAAGTTACTCATCAATAGACTGTACGCAATGAGCTAGCTGGGAGTAAATAAAGTTAACGACTGCGACAACTACTAGCCACAGCCACAGCCAGAGCCAGAGCCGTTGCCATCGATCAAATATTGAGCTTGTAGTATAGCCGAATGAAAAATTTAATTGAATTAAGTCACTTATCGAACGCGTGACTAACAACTAATTGCGTATTGATTAGCAACGTTGCATTTAACCTCAACGGGTACGGCCTGCTTGTGCTCTGTATCTTTTGTTGTTTGTTCGTGTGTGTGTGTGTGTGTGTATGTGTGTGCGTTAATGTGCGATTAGCGTATGTATATAGATTGTCTTTATTTGTTGCTGTCTTATATAATTGAACAAGTGCGTCTAAATACATTAAGTTAGTCGGCTGGATAAGGCTAAGGATTACATACAAAATCACTAAAAAAAAATGGAGCGGTGGCGGTGCATTTCTTGTTTGTTTTCAAATCAAACGGCCCACAAGTGAGAGGGTCAAAAATTAAGGAAATTCATGGAGCATAAGTAGAATCACATTTGAGGCGTGACATGGCGCACAACTGTAGCTTTCCAGTGTGTGTGCTTTAACTTGGCACCTGCAACTTCGTGCTGCTGCGCGTGAAGACCTTCTTTAGAATTTTCGGACGCCACTTAATTGAGCTCTTCTTACTTTCTGATGTTGTGGATAGGTTGGAGTTGCTGGCGCTTAGCGTTCGTTCCCGTTCGGGCATATTGATGCCGTTGGTTGAGTACGCATGCCTAAGGGGTTTTTTGGTGCCACTGGGCGTTGTGTTGAAATTCAGCGTTAGCTTTTGGAGCAGCTTGTCTTTCTTCTTTAGCTTTAGCTCTGGGATGGGTGCACTGGTGTCGCCTGTCATGGTCACTAGCGCTGGCTCCATTGATTTGCGCTCGGTTAAGGGCATATCGGTGACATCTTTGTCGTTGAGAAGTATGCGCGGTGTCTCCGGCAAGGAGATATGGAGCACTCCATCTTCTGCGATAGTTTCTGGAGCTGAGGGACTGCTGAATACAACAGAGAGAAGCCAGTTAGTTTTGAATTTGCAATTAAAGTAATTAACTTACGCATATAATTCCCGTGAAGTGTAGATAGAGAGGGAATCCAAGTCAAACAATGATTTGGCCAATTTGTCCCAAAAGTTGTAGAGACTCGAGTGAGCTGCGTAATTCAAATATGTGTAGATGGCTAGCGTGTGCGGTATAACCATGTTGTGGTTGTAAACGATTTGTATAATCTTGCGTGTCTGGTTCTCTGCGAGAAATGTGGAGCTGATTATCATACAGAAATATTTGTTACGAATTAATAATTTTACTTACCTATTTGTAGCTTGTGCGTAAAATTCACGAGATATTTATTTTCGGGGCTCTTCAGAAACTCATCGGTTAGCACAACAATCAAATGATTGCATCGTGTGGCCATGAAATTTGACAGCTCGACATGCTCAAAAGGCACGCCACCCAGCAGGTCACGGTGCTTCAGAAACAGCTACAGATGGGTGGGGAATTAAGTGTGTGTGAGGGAAATTGCTTTACTATTGCTACCTTAAAGTTATATCGCGGGTCTTCTAAGTTTCTCATAATCTCTGTGGCATGTTCAATGTCCGCCTCGGCGTACAGCACACAAGCATTGTAGGTGGGCAGAGGGCGACCCTGCTGCAGGCAGGTGACATCCTCAGCGGTGAGAATGTTTATATCCCGTCCCAAATGATTATTGTTGGTCTCAGTAGATACTCGAATAGGCGAGGGGCATTCACGCGCATGCTCCAGCAGTCGTTGCTTGTTGTTATAGATCTGTGTGTCCTTGGCTGCATAGCATTTAGTTAAATAGACAGTTCTATAGTGTGGAAAACACTTCTCAACTTACTCATATTCTCTTGTATGTCATCGCGAACATCCCAACGATCGATAATGCCCAAATATTTTTCCAGATGTCCAAACGTGGCTGTCTCGGGATTGTTCAAAGTCCAATTTCTTAGCACCAGCTCCATAGGATTGGGTGTTTGGTCTGGGATATAGTTAGCCTGGCGAGCTAGCGTCGCAATTCCACGCCAATCCCGCTCGTACCCCTCCTCAGAACGCAGCACCTTCTTGCGATTAAGCATACAGGCCAGCTGCTTCCGTGTTTCGGCACTCAGCTCATTAAGCGGAGTCTCATTGAAGCCGCCCCCACTCTGATCCTCTTCATTCATGGTGTGGTAAGACTCAAGCTGACGTACCATTTTCGATTGACGATTAAACGCACTGACGTCAGCAGGTGAATGTGAATGCCTGTGGCATACAAATGACGATTACGGTTGCAGGCGCTGGTGCGGTTGCGGTTGCGGGTACAGGTGTGGACGATATACCCCTAAGAGCAACAATGTGTGTTTGTGTGCTTGTGCTTGATCTTTATCAGCACGGCGCGCCAACAAGCGAGCACGGGTTATCAGTTAAACAATAAAAACAGCCCCGTAGGTGTGAGTGGTTATTTTCGGATCGCGTTAGCTCTATTGTTTTTTGATGAGCGCTAATATCGCAGCGATGTGTTGACGCTTTTCAACGCTGCTGCTGCTGCTTGCGCGTGTTGTGTTGCGGGTGGTTGGCTGGACGGCCGTGCGCGAAATGGGCCTGAGCTGACCTCGAGCACCGAACACTGAGCACCGAGCGCTTCGCGACGCGTCTGGTGGCACTGGCAATGTTGTTTATCTGCTGTCTACTGTCTGCTGTCTCTTGTCAGCTCGTCTGGCAGTGCGCTGCTTGCGCAGAAGATTTTGCTTAAATTTTTGACACACACGCACACATAAACACAGAGAGCAGCGCACGCGTTCGTTGGCAGGCGGACCTGCGCGGGACCCGGGGCTATCGTTATTTACTAAACACGAAAATAAATTTTATGAACCAGAGACTTCGAGTTGCTTGTTGTTTCGTTGGTAGCGGGCTGATTCGTTGCTGCGTTGTCGTTTTGGCTTTTACTTTGCTTGTAAACTGTTTATATTTCTTCTTTTGTTATTTATTATTATTTTTTTTTTTTGTAATTTACGTTCCAATTGTTTTCGTTTCACTGTTTGCGTTCTTTATTTGCTGATCTATACATTGTTAATTGCGAATTAATTGTATTCTTTCTCCCGTTTTCTGCGCAACAGGCTATTCTATTTGTTTCTCGTCACAAGTTGTTTTGAGCATTAACCCTGCTTGGACCCTCAGGGTTTAATATTACCTAACGTTAAGTGAAATTAAGAAATCGATTTCTACACGCAAAACTACTAGTGGTTTCTATATAGTTTCCTGTTGACTGATGAAAAAAATCAGTTATTTATTATTACTATTCATTATTTTTAACAAAAATAGATGTATAAAACAAGAATCGAAACTGCAGTTTCCATTTTCTTGTACTACTTTTAACTGTGTGGCAACACTGCAGGTTATCGAAAGTAACGTCAGCTGAGTCGTTCGTGCTGTCAGAAAACCGTGGCTTGTGTCTCGGCTAAACGATAATAATCCATATGGTATTTCTGTGCGGCCATATGATTCGATAACATAAATTTGTTTAAAGTTGGGTGGTTGTCAATGCTAAAAAACATTGTGTTCCAATGCACCTTTTTAGTTGTATTTCAAACATACTCGCTGGACGTACTCATTGTACAATGTTCATGTTGCGCCAGTATTATGTTCCCTTTCTATGCACATACGTCTTCCGATTCCACCAAGTCCTGAATCTTTCTTTACAAAAAATTTGGAAGAAACTAGATGTGTATGCTTCGGGCACAGGGTGAAAGGATATGCAGCTAAAAATGTTAAAAGAAATGAGAAAGTCTTTTGTAAATTCAGTTTATTTCATTGGTTTTTTTTCCAAGTTTCGTTTTACGTTTATTCTCTTATTTTGCATTTAAATACGTTCCAGTTACAAATACTGATATACTACACAGGTGACACAATTTGATTTACGTTATTTTTTTAATTTAGTGGTTTGTTTTAATTCAACATTCTTTCTTGATGAATAAAACGCTTGATGCGCACAAATCTGTTTATTTTTTTTTGTTTTTTTTGATTTTTAGCAACAATTAACAGTTAAAGTTGACTTTTTGCAGGCATGTATTTTAAGTTTGGCGTGTGTGTGAGTGTGGGTGTGTGTTCGTGTTCGTGTGTATATATTATGTGTATTTGTGTTTGAATTCGTCTAGTTTTATAGTAATTGTTTACTTTCTGTTTTAAGCATTGCCTTACGTAAGCTTCCATCATTCTAATTCACTTGCAATTGTTATTGTTATTTACATTTTAGTTGTCTCAGTTGCGCCTTCTTGTGTTCTTTGTAAATAATTGCTCAGCTGGGTTTGGGGCTTCAGAGTCTCACATACAAAGGCTACAAAGGTGCTCAAGAGCAGTTTGATTTGAGAAACGATTGCTGATTCCGAAAATGTAAATCGATTTTCGTTTTGTTGTTCTTTATGTTATGGTTGTTGTTTGATTTCATCGTATCAATTGTTGTTTTTTCGCTTGTATAATAATTCAGCTTAGATTTTATATACTTAGCTAACTGTAATTAATAATAGTTATTTGGTTTTAGCATGTATTATCTAAATAAATTAGTCTAACATATTATGTATATATATATACTATATATATGTACTTTTTGCTGACAAATGCAATTACAAAGTACTTCAACGTTTGATTTTTTTTTTTAAATGTATTATTTGTTTTTATCTTCGATTTATTGAGCAAAGAGTTGCCCGAATTGAGTTTTTACAATAAATATTATCACTTTCGTCCAACAAATCTGTATTGAGTTCCTCGTATAATAAATGTTTCCTTATTCTTTGCAAATTTCTTTTGGCCTTGTCGAAAGTGAAATTGATTGCGTAATGCACTTGCCAATTGAGTATTTTACATAACTCTGGCTTGCCTGGTTTTGTGTGTGTTTGTGTATGTCTCTGTGTGTGTGTGAGTGTAAATCATTTTTAAGTATCTATTATAATAGTAAATATTTCATTATTGAATTTTTATTAATTTATTATAAATTTATTGAGCTACTTTAAAGCTTTCAATTTACTTTGTTTCGAATGAATTCGTTTTCCAAAAATGACTATATGAATGCAATTACAATATTATATTACTAGCAGTAAACTTTATTGACACCGAGTTATGCTGTATAGTTTTATAGTAAATATTCCTCCATGTCTCATCCCACTATTACTTGTATGTCTGTCTGACTGACTGTCTGCCTGTAAGAGTGTGTGTGCGTGTGCGTGTGAGTGTGAGAGTGTACCATCCTTACATACGCGTATCTCACATTACATTTAGGCACATTCTTACACAAAATTCGGTCTGTCTTTAACTAATCGTACATACATGCGTGTTTTAATTAATTTTCCCACATTTTTCATTCTGCCTTCTCGAATTTTCAATTTGCAGTCCTTGCTCCCGGCTTCGAGAGCGTTTCACCTGCTTTTTTGTATTTATTGTACATATGTATGTGTGTGTGTGTGTGTGTTCATATATGTAATTAGCAACAACAACGGCAACACAAGTTGGGCAAATACATTCGAACTGGTTGTAATGCTTGAGTTGAACCTTTAATGCATTTGTGGCTGAAACCGATAGAAATTTGCTTCAAGCAAATTGCAAACATAAACTCAAATTAATTACTAAATTTCTTAAATCATATACATATATACTTGTAGTGTATATATACGAGTACGTGTGGGTCGAGCAAACTGTTGAAGCACCAGAACTGCTTCTACATACACACCTAAGTACATACATATGTGGTCTATCCTCACCTGGCTTAGTTGTAGTTTCATTTGAACACCTAAAAACATTTAACAACATTCATTAACATACATACATTAATTGTATGTTATTTTGTTTTAGTTTCTGTTTCTCATTTACAATTGCACGTTGAACAATTTGGTTGCATCTTTCAGTTTGTGTTTGAACTTAATTTAACTTTAAAATTATTTCGACAACAAGCTCGTTTTGCAGTATTAAGTACCAGTTTTCATATCGTTCAATAAGTTTTAGTTTTTCTATTCATTTTTTATTCGCTATTCAACTATAATTTATCCCCTACCCTTGCAGCTTGGCATATACCTACCCTAGAATGCCGCGAATCAAGTCAAGATGACACGGTTGAGTGTATGCAAGTTTCTTTATTACGAGTATGTGTATAAATTTATTGTATATAGCGTTTAACTGAAATACTGTAATCGCATTTGAGCAACATTTGGTTTCACTCTGAATTGCTTTCCTATTTTTACATTTTTTCTTACTCGAACATAATTTTCTTTCAACATTTACTTACGAGTACGTTCAATTTACAACTTTGCTTCAGATACATTTACATACCGACTACATTCTGCCGATTGTTATAGAATTGATTACAGAACTGTTTCAATCTGGGACACAGCTCTTGCATGTTTTCTCAATATTTGACAGGCAAGTGAAGGTCATAGGTTGTTGAATGAAAAGTAAGCAAATGGGTGTTTGGAAAAATAGTTTAGTGGAGAGACAGACAGCTACATTTTTATTATCTGATGCTATAATATTGAATGGCTATCATGAAACGCATTTCGCTTAAAAAAATAAATGGATTAGTTCTCATAATACCATCTTTAAATTACTGATGTGTTGGAATCTTGAAGTTTCTCTGTCTTTTTGAATGTTTTAAACCTGTAAACCTAGCAAAAATGTGTGCAAGGTTCCTTATCTGCTGTTATACTTGTAGATAAAAAAAACGTAAAGAGGTTTTCACCCATGTAGCTGAATATTTAAGGAAGCAACAAAATTATTTTTGAAATAATAATATTATGGAAATTATAGTAGAATTGGATTTTAGAGTGCCTTCTTCAAATATTGCTATTAAATTCTCAAACTAGTTAACAAGCAAATAACCAGGCTTGAAACACCCATATGCGAAACCTTTGTCTACCACGATGCTTTTGGTTCTTATTTTTTGAACGCGGGGCTATATACTTAACTTAAGGAGTTGGCTTCCTACTCGTAACATGGCCGTAACAGTGGATATACTTAGTACATACATTTCAAATGCTATGTAGACATACCTGGTATCAATCGAACTTAACTGTAGACTCTTGCTTACAACTAAACTGGATCACTTTTGATTTGTTTCTTAATGCAAAATATTTTTTAGACTAAGTATTGTTGTTGTTTTTGTTATAGCAATACATACAAAACAAACCCGTTATGCTTAGGCTAAGATTTTCCATTGCTGCTTGTGCTTACGAACATTCGTTTTTCGTCAAATTGTTTTCCCATCTGTGGGTTGGCCAGCTGTCGTACTAGCCTCGAGATATGGCGCCTGTTATTGGCTAAAAAAATGATTTGTGCGTATAGCTTTGGGGCTGCGTCTATTATATGTATTTTCCCTTTGTTTCCTTCACAGGAATTGCCGTTAAAAATATAAAATATATTTGCGAGCAAAGAGGAAAATGAATTATGACATTTTTAAAGAAATGAGGATGAAGTAGCACTAGGAGGCAAATAAACACACCAGGGATTGTATCAGACGCAGGCTATTTTTCAACCGCAATTCACAAACTACTATGCAGGTGTGTCCGTGTCTATATGCGTGTGGATGGGTGGGTTGCGCCATTTTTAGCATGCACGCGTTTTATTTATTCATATCTGGTATAGCTTTTGCGGTACTTGTTGCCCATACATATATAGAAGACTCATAGTTGTAACTGAACCTGGAACATTAGTCTAAGTTGGAACAGGAGCTGGGACTAGAAGAGAAGCCGAAGCTGTGCTTGTTGTTTATGACAAACTTGTCCTGCTGGCCAGCTGGAACGCTCCTTCGGTGGCTCAGTTGTAGTTGTCAGATGAACGCCAACGCTTGTCACGCTCATAAATATTCAGCTTCTGTTATGGAATCTGCAGTTGCTGCAGCTGTTCCTCCTGGCCGGCTCCTCGCTGTAGTTGCTGCAGTTGAGGATGCTGATAGTGTTGTTGTTGCTGCTGCTGTTGTTGTTGCTGTTGCTGCTGCTGCCTCTGCTGGCCCAGGAGCGCCGTGTGTTCGGTCATGTTTTTGATCATGCGCGTTCTTTCTAAATTCTCGCGAATAATCCTTTCGTTTTCTTGACGCACTGCACCGGGTAGGGGAGGAGAGTAAATGGTAGAAGTGGATTAACAATTTGTCGTATATAATAATGGCAGTGAATAAGTAATAAGCAAAGGCAGGGCATGGCTTTAAACTACAAACTTTAATGGAACGGCTTGCATAGCTAAGAGGCGCGATGTTTCAAATCCGTTAAATAATTAATCATCATCATTAATAATTAGGACACGACGTTCTTCTCCCACTGTTGCTTTTCGTTTAAACTGCAGTTGAAGTAAATGCCTGTTGATGAATTTCTTAAATATAACTTTCATCAATCCAGACTATTTACTTTAAGCACAGTTTAACATTTTACTGACTCGTTTGCTGACACAGTTTCGTTTGTTTTGTTACACAACACCCAACCACATCCCTCATCCCCCTCACATCATCTCACATCACCCACAACCAAACCTCCTACAACTCCCCATGACGCGCACTCAACAATGTTTGCACGGCCGTTTTGTGTGTATTACATGCTTTTGTGCATTTTACAGCAGTTTTAATTAACAGCAAAAGAATTGACAAGCTTCATCATTTCCCATATTCCCTCCACAACAACCCCCCCCCCCCCCCAACCCTTCGGTTATTGCTGCAGCTGTTTGTAGTCACTATCAGCATGTTCATACATGTATGCATGTTGGGAAAGTGTCAAAATTTGTTTGCCAATCAATCACATGTGCACATATTTGCTTGGCCACCGAGTTCGTCCTCTTTTCGCTTGATGTCTCGTTGCCGCACTTCCTGCAATTCATGTTCCATAGTGTGCAGTATATATATATATATATATGTGTGTGTGTTTGTCGAAGCTTGTTTATTGCACCTGTTCATGCTCTAAATGCTATCTAGCTGTAATAGATTCGCTTCGAACAATTTTCTGTTTAGCAAACGAAAACCTTGAGTTCCAAATGAACTCATGAGCCTGCCTTTGGAACCTTTCTTCGTTAATTGCTGTACATACTTTTCCCGCACCACATTTTTCCATGTAACACAAAGTATCTTTGGACGCCCTGCAGCTAAAGCATAAATAGGACATTTATTATGTTTGCATAAATCTGTGTAAAAGGCAGAAGGGAGCACTGGATATTGCTTAAAGGATATTGCTCTTTATCAGCATGGATATATGTCCAACTGTCTCGCTTGAATGAATGCTTTAGTTTCAAAAAAGGCTGAGTCCGGAATTCTCGAATTCCTATGTATAGTTACTTGCACTTACTAGAAATCTATAATTTTGATGTTTTGTTTACAAGATGCCCACTAGAGTTTATTCGTGTGTTGTAAAAATTACAATTTTTTGAAACAATCCGTATTTTAAATGTTTGCTGTCCCCGCGCGCATTTTTTTATTGTTAATAAGAAGATTCGGCCTGGTCTTTGTCCATTGAACTCGACCATCTCGCCTCTGCATGCAAAATAATGCAGCTGTTTGTTCTGTTGCATCAACTAGCGCATAGTTGCTCTTCAACAATGAATTGCAGTTGCTGGAATTTAATTAAAATTCTTGCGCTACGATGGCGTGCCATTCGCATACTTGCAGGCGCACGCCAAATATTACAAAAATAAGGGGGAAAAAATAGTGGCATAGAGGCATATTGCATTACTTTTTATTGCGAAAAGCATACATAAATGCAAGCATTCAAGTAATTTGTTGCTGAAATTGAAAAATTAGCAATAAAGCCCTAACAAATATTCGACAAGCCCGCGGCCACAAAAATGTACGCTTTAAACGCATTCCCTGCATTAAATTAAGAGTGACCCCGCCAGTTCGTCACCATGCGCATGCATGTCCTTTTGAGGCGGCAACTAACGCATAATGCACAGGAGTGCAGCTCAAAGCCAAACTCAAACAGAGCGTCCTCTGTCGAGTGTTGTTGTTTTTCTTGCCGCTTCTGTTGCTGTTGCTTGTGCAGCAACTGTTGCCTTTGTATGGCATCTGAGGCGTATGTACGAGTACGGCGTGTTAATGTGTGTTTGGCAGGCCGGAGGCGAATATGGGGACACGAATGGCGATGGGTATGGGGTACTAGCGGTTAGGCCTAGAGGTGATGCCAGCCATTATTCACATGCCGTGGAGCCGTGTTGTTGCTATTGCTCTAGTAAATAGCAGCTACTCAGCATGTGGAAGCGACATGTATGCTCCGATTGTGTGTGCGTGCCTGCGTCGTGGGCTATTTGAGACCAATTAACATATAACTTTCCCACTGGTAAACAAGTTAAATTGTTAACAGCTATTATGGCCGCTCATAGCTGCAGCTCCCGGCAAGCGTCTAACTTTGTATAGTATGTGCCATGAATGGCCATACGCGTAGGTGTGTGAGTGTGCACGTGTATCTGTATGTGCCTAGGTAGGTAGCTGTAGCTGTAGCTGTACATGTGCATTCTTTGTCTTTCTTGTTGCTTAATTATTTATGTGGCGTTGAAAGCAGCATCATGTGCGTGTGTAACTACTTGGGTTGTTGTTGTTGTAGCTCCTGCTGTCGTGGTTGTTTTGTGGAAAAGAGCAGAAGCCCCCCGACAACTAATTAGTTGCTTGGTAATCTATTTTGCAGTTTTTTAAAGAGTACTTTAATTTTAAGCGTGAATTTGTAACATTTAAAGTTATGTTCTCAGTGTTGGTGTGAATTATTTATGCCATAAAGTATGCTATGTTATTTTTAAATCCTGCTGAGAGAAAATGTTTTTATTCTTTTTGACAGCAAATTATTTAAAATCATTGGGTGTGGCAAGAATTATTTTCCAACTAGGTCAACGATAAAATGCTCAATGTAAATTAACGACAACAAATAATAATAAATGTATTCAAAACGTGGACTGCTTTAGATAAAAACTAGATCCAAACGGCAGGTTTCCTTTGGATGCTCTAGGATGATGAATTTGACATAATTTCGTTATCTTACTGGGCGTATAGGTAATATTTAAGGAGTTCCTGTCATTTCCCAGATCGATCTATATTTGTCCATCATAGGCAACCATTTGGCAATTGAAGTTGTCAATTTATTTTTGATATTTGTAGCGATGTGAGCTCTGAATCAACACATATACTATACGTACACGCATATGTATAAATATCCACACCCATAAATGCATGCATATGCCCGTACATACTACAAATACACACATAATGCGTTTTAATATGTTGTCGTTGCTTTAGTCGCATGGTCACGTGGGCATTGCCTCGCCAAGTGACGTTCACAGGCATGGAGGCTGCCTCAAAGCAAGGCCATGAAGCCAACTGAGCGGGCAATGTCACCAACATGAGCGGAGCTCGCTGCCAACAATAAACAATTGTTGCTGTTGCACTCTCCCTCACAGACACGCTTATGCGAGTACATTGGCAGATGAAAAAGTAACCTAGTTTCATGTCGTAAACGTAAAATTAAGGCTTATGGGTGTGTGAGTGTGCTTATGCGCATGTGTGTGTGTGTGTGTGTTTGTGTGTGTGCATATTTGTAAATAAGTGTAAGTGTGCCTGTCTGTTGGGCACACATAAAAACATAAAACCAACTGTACCGCACCGTTATAATGCTTCGTGTGCACATACACACACACACACACACACACACACACACTGAAAGAGAGAGACACACACACATAATAAAAAAACACACGCGCGCGCCTCTTGATACAAACAAACAGCGAAACTATTAAAAGAAAGTATGAAAAAGTGAGCATGATAACTACGGTCGCAATGTTCAGGCTGCTCAGACGGGCATGCGTTTGTAACTACGAGTATACATGTGTATGTATATATTTATATGTGGGTGTGAGTGAGCGTTTGTGTGTGTGTCGGTCAGCTGTTGTCGTCGTTGGTTGGCAGCGGTACTGTTAGCCCGTTGCCATTGTCTGTGCTTAGCCAAACAACACAACAAGCGTACGAAGGCACGCACACAGCCACACATTTTTGCAACCATAACCATCGGCCGTGCTGATTAGTTTGCGTTTGGCTGCCTGCCTGCCTGCCTGCCTGACTGCCTTCTCCCTTCTCCTTTCAGCAGGTGAGGTGGCTTGTCGACGCACGACAGCCTGCAGCCAAAGTCATTAAAGCCAAAGTAAGTATAATTTTTTATGGCCGGCGCATGTGTGAGTGCGTGTGTTTGCATTTGTTGGCGAGCCAAAGTAAGGCTAAGTGAGTCGGTGAGTCAACGTTAGTGCTTGGCCGGTTAGTCAGTTATGTAATGCTCGAGATTTTCTGAGGCTTTTGTCAGCTCAAGCTGGTAATCAGGCTGTTTGTTCATTTGGATAGCATTACAAACATTTTCGAGCATGTCCATAGTATACCCGGTACTTGGTACGCAATGTGCATTTGATAATTTGGAACTCACCGGGTCGTGAAGTACCAGAGAAAAATGGCAAAAATTGTAAATATATTTACATTTTATTAAGCGCCACTAATTACCTAAATTAATCGTTTTAGAATCTTTAAGTAGTTCAAAAGCACATTTTACAATTGCACCTCATTCTTCAAAGAGTTTACTTTAAGGCATATAAGCCATAGCAATTAATGATAATTAATCAATGATTAAAAATCATGCAAACAGTGAGATAACTTCTTCTTTTTTTTTATCATTATTACACAACACAATTCGAATTTCAAAGAATTATGGGCGCAAACAACTGCCAACAAAAGGCCTATGCTCGATTATATGTTCGACGATCAATTTCTGGTTTCAGTAAATGGCTTAGGTTTTTTTTTGAAAATGTGATAGTTATCTCGTTGTTTATTATTCTCTGCTGTACGTCCATTTATGTATATGTGTGTGCTTGCATGTGTGTGTGTGTGTGTATTCGCGTGTCTGTGTGCTTTATTTGACAACAGCGCACGCAAAAATGTTTCTTTGTAAATGATTTGCGAATATAATAGAACGAATGACTGGCAAAAACGTAAACATCATGGCGATGCTGCCTACTTACAGGCGTGTGTTTGTGTGTAGCATTTGCTGCAATTGCTGAATTGGTCGAGAGGATGTGGTCGCGGCGGTGGTGCTCTGGCTATGTGGCTATTTGAGGAGATTATTGTAGTGCTCACGTTTGATGCAAGTAGAAACAAAAGTGCTCGTTGCCGTAGCAATTAGCCGACATCGATTGGCTAAGCGGATTGATTGCTGAATGTACAAAACACACGCTCACGCACACATGGGAAGCAAAAGCATAGTACTTAGAACTGAATAGCATAGAGTCGAAACAAACCGATTTGAATATCGATGGGTTGGAACGTCTCAGATTGCTTTGCATTTTATCGAGCGCTGTGCACACGAAGCCTACGATGAGTGTCAATACTACGTGCTTGTCTCTAATAGTGGCTGTTCCTATTATTATTATTGTTATTGTTATTATTATTGTTGTTGTTGTTGTTGTTGTTGTTGTTGTAGTTCTTAGTGTTGCTGTAGTTGTTGCATTTGCACTTCATGATGGTCGCATACCCGTGTAGTGGACCGGTGTATCCCTGCTGAACGAATGCGTCTTCTTGCCAGATTGACTCTGTCCAGAGGTGAGGGTGACAACCACAACGAAAATGCTGGCACACACCAAACATAAGAGTACGGTGGCTAGGACTATGCAGACGATGCGTTTCCGCTTACGATCAGCATCCTCATCCTCGTCGGTGTCATCGCTCAACGACTTCTTCTTCAGCTTATGCGAGCCCCCACTCACCGAGGCCTTCCGGCCAGCGGCCAGTTTGTGATGAAAGGGTCGCAGAACCTGCGCGGCAAATGCTGCGTCACTAAGCTCGTAGGTCAACGAGGGTTTGCGTTCGAAAGAAGGTCGCTTCTCGTCGATAAAGGCAGCGGCTGCAGCCGATATTGGACGTGGGCTGCGTTTTATTTCGTCCAGACTGGCACCCGCGGTTGGCACGGCCGTGGACAACGGACGACTGTTGCGTCGGTGGGGTGAGGTAAGCTCAAAGTCTTCGCCAGCTGAGCCAATGGTGCTCGGTCCCGGCATTCCAGTATCCCCGATAAAGCTTTTCGACTTCTTCGATGCGCTCAGAGTCTCTCGATATGTTCTGAGTCTCATGCTCGCACTATGCAATGCCTTGGCCTGTTTTACACTGGCGCTAGCATTTGTGCCTTGGAATGCAGCTGCGGCTGCCAGCACTCCCGGCCTGTGGACAGTCAGCTCCTCTAAATTGCTAGGCGAGAGGTAAAGCGAGCGTCCGTGTTGCGCCCCACGCTTGAAGTGGTACGCAGCCGTAGCCGCCGCTGCGGCACTGTGCAATTGCAAGGTGTGTGCGGCACTTGAGGTTGATGGTCTTCCGTCTAGCTCTAAGCTGTGCGTGCTCTGTTGCCGTGAATGCGGGTGCGTTTCACGTTTTTGCTTCACGCTGTTCGAGCTGGAGGGCGGATGGGTCGCACTGTGACCGGCCATGACGGTGCCGCCGCTTTCCTCGAAGGAGCCAGAGCTCTTGCGAAGACGCTGCACAGTCGCCATATCAGCAACGCCAAGATCCTCCATTTTGGTGTGACTGTTGCTGCGCGATCTCGACTCAACAAAGAGCTCGTTTTCCAGTGACAAATTCGACTGCGGGAAGAGGGAGGTGGGACGACCATCCAATGGATCCATTACATCGTCATTCAGTGATGGATGACGTATTTGGGACTCGACTACCGAGTCCGGTTTGGTGCTGGGTCGGCGCGCAGGATCGTTGAAAGATCGATGCGAACGACAGCCCCGTCGGCTGGGTGAAGGGGAACGCGATAGTTCCTTGCCCGCCGGTGGTCCCGGCATCAAAAAGTTGGCGCGCACCGAACTGGTGCGCCGACTAGAGGCCGCCGAGGCGGAACTAGCCTGCAGTATCTGTTCCATGGCGGCGGGATCTTGTTGAGCGTGGAAGGAATGCGTTTTCTTCATCTGAAAATTGGCAGACGGATGCACGTCAATAGTGTCTGAGCGCCGGAACAGGTTCTTCTTCAGCGGGTGCGTGTGCAGAGCGCCGCTGCTGCCGCTGCTGCTGGCGGCGGCGTGTGCACGAAATGCCGCCGAAGCTGCAGCCACAGCCGCTGATGGCGGCAGCATATCATCGACATCGATGAACTGTATCGGTGATGTGCTACCGCCAAGCGGGGATCGCCCCAGGCCATGCCCTAGGCTCATGCCACTGCCAACACCGCCGCCGCCAACATCTTCGCCCAGACTGCTGCTGCTGACCAGGTAGATGTCCGGCTGATGCTGCTGATACTGATGCGCTGCTGCGGAGCTGCTGCTCCCCAGGACGGGGCTAACGGCATGCGAGTGCGAGGTAGGCGAACTGGTGGAGCTCGAGTGCGTGTGCTGGCGGTGCGGATGCTGGTGGTGGCGCGCAGCAGCGGCCTGTGCGGCCAAATGCTGAAATGTGTGCAGATGCTGCTGCTGTTGGTGCTGTTGGTGGTGTTGTTGTTGGTGGTGGTGCTGTTGGCGTGCAGAGAGTGCTGGCGAAACGGCACCACTGCCACCGCCCCCGCCACCGTGTGGGTGTGGGAGATGTTGTGCTGGGAGTGCTAGGGTCTGCGGCGGAGCCGAGCGCAAGGGCAACGGCGAGGCCGAGCGGTGGATCAGCGGCTGTTCAATAATCAGTCCATCGTCGAGCAGCATCTGCTCGCCTAATGGCGCATAATTGTCGATAGCCATAGAGAGGGATCTATGGATGGCCTTCAGCTTGGGTGGCTTCTTCTTGGTGGCGGGATTGTCAAACGAAGACGAGCCCGCCGTGTGCTCTTCGTCCGCGGCGCCGGACGTCATGTACGGATCATAGCTATGAACGGCAACCACATGCTGGTGCTGGCCCGGCCCTTGTTGGTGCTGTTGTTGGTGGTGGTGTTGTTGCTGCTGTTGCTGATGATGTTGGCGCGACTGATGCTGGTGGTACTGCTCATGCTGCTGACCACCGCTGGTGCCGCGCTCCATGCGGTAGTAGTACTGGCGTGGGTATCTATGGTAGTAATGTGCAATTGTGGTGCTGGTATGTGGGATTTGGCTCGAGCAGGAAGAGGGTAATCACACTGACACTGACCTGGGCGCGGGATTGCGGCTCGGACCGGTGCTGGTAGCGTTGTAGCCACCTAGTTAGGCGTCTTAGATAACGGTGCTAGCGGTGACAGTTCTTGTGATTCTTGTGATTCTGGTGGTTCTGGTGGTTCTAGTGGTTCTAGTGGTTCTAGTGGTGGTTTTTGGGTGGCAGAGGGTGCTCTACTAATTTGTGCTGACTTGGTTAGCTTGTGTCGCGGGCAGGGGAGACACACAGACACGGATATAAATGTGGTGGCGCACACAAACACAAACACTTGGTGCTGTGTGGATGTGCAGGACATTTAGGACATTTAGCAAGACATAGTGGTATACGTATACGTGTGGTCACAATTAAGAACAGTGTGCCAAATACATATGTAAGAACTAAAATTGGAGTTAAGCGTGTGTGTGTGTTTGTGTAGGCTATAGCTGTAAAAATTATTGCTTCTGCTCTCTCTCTCAGAGACTACTGGTAGTGTTCTTGTGTTCTGCTATTGAACTATGTTTTATTGCTGTTGTTGTGCGTTTCATTTGATTCTTTATCACTTTTGCTTTGCAGGTGCTTTTGCTTTTTGTTTTGTTTTGTTTTGCTTATGCTTTGTGTTCTTTTCGTGAGTTCTTTTGCTTGAGTGCTGAGTGCAATTGCAATTCTCTTTGCTACTTTGCTTTGTCGCTTTTAACTGTTTAATTTGTTTCTCTTTTATTGTCACATTGTGTATGTGGTTGCTGGTATTGTTGTTGTTGTTGTTGTTATTATTGTAATTCAAATGAGTATTTGATGATATTTCCTGTCCTTGCTCATCTACGTTCTTACTTTGAGGGTTACAAAATGTGCTGTTGTTGTTGATATATATTTTTGTTTTAATTTTCACTTAATCAGTAAAGTTTGCAAATATAAAAGCACAACTAGAAGTAGAGAAGAAAAAAATATATATACGTGAAGAAGTACATATTAGCAAGCTGATTGGATAAGTGCTGTGTGGGGAGGGGGCAGTGGTTGGTGGGTGTTGGGGGGTGCACAATGGGAATGGTGATTGGTGGCTGATGGGCAGTTGCTTGAAATTAAAAGCCAACAAATGTGTTACAGAGTAATAAAATCATCACAGCGCTCTACAAATTGAATCAAGTCGAGTCCGCTCAAATTGCTGCTCAAACAATAAGCCAATATACTACAAGTACATAGTATATCCTTAAAATGTACGCAATTCCCTAGCCCCGATAGCTATGGGCAGTCACGTAGCGGGTGCCCTGCTGTTTAATGTGCCATAATCAAATTTAATCTATGGAACAGCCACGATGGCCACACGGCAAACAAATCGTCAGTGGTCGTCAATGTCGTCAGGGACATTACGCTTCAACTCTTTGGGCCAACATAATTCATCATTTTCCCTTTGCCACTACCTTGACGGTAGTCTCTGTAGCATTTTGCATAATTTAAAGTGACATGCGGTTGGTTATTGGCCACAGACTCTGTGCTAGCTGGTTGGCGGACAGACAAATGGGCTGTGCGCGCCGGCGACTGTCACTCAGTGGGTTAATTTTTCAGTGTTCATTGATGGATGAGCGCTAGTTGACACACTTCTCCCTTACTTTTTCATCTCCTACTCTCCATCTCTTTCGCTCTTCTGCACCTGTGTGTGTGTGTGTGTGACTAGGCCTTGTAGTCATTCTAAATGGTATTTTAAAAATTAAAACGCTCTGCGGTTCGAGACCCAAAACGAGTTAAACATATTAAAAAGTTTCGTGTTGTTCAAAAAAGGTGAGTCACAGTCTCTGCCTCTACACATATATGCACATATCTATGTAGTACTATGTATATAAATGTCTGTGTGTGTGATATATCGGTCTGTCTGTCTGTCCGTAGTATGTATGTGCACGCTTGTGCCCAAAATTCAGAGAAGACTGTGAACATCACGTACTTTAAATATTTTTAAACGAGCTTAAGTGAAATTATATGTATTTTTAAACGAAAGCCTGCGATATATGTATACACAGCTCTGTGACACATACAGATATATGTATGTATGTACATATTTGTACATTAATATATTGATATGTATATGTCGGGAATTTTTGTCCCGCCAGCATGTTTGCGTATTTTCGTGTGTTTCCCAGCCAGCACGAACATGACTCGGTTGCTTGGGAAAACGGCGTAGGTCTTTGGGATGCTCACCTATGTTATAAGCGAAATACTCGAAATTCGCAAAAATACTCATCAAATTTGGCATTGTATCAAATGTCGTACCAATTAAGAACGGTCAGGCAGTGATATGGGTGCACTGGCATACGAAATTGGCTTAATTTCTGATATAGGACTCGCAGACGTGTCTAAAAATATACTTCATAGCTAGATTCATGCACTTGAAAAAATATGTTGCCTACTTTCGTGATATCTTTGATTGTAAATGAGAGAAATAGTTTTTTTAAATATGAAGAAAGAAACGAAACTCTCCTTGTTTTGGTTTGCACTAATGGCTCCATTGCAATAGGGTATCCTGTTTATTGTGAACGCACATTGCACTTATTACCATTCAATGTGCCTGCTGGCTACATTTGTAACTCACAGAAGACCAAGTAACTATTAGAATGGATTAAAAAACAGCACGGCCAGGCGAATCTAAATATCGATGCACTATAGGTCGGTTTTACACATCTTTCCTAGCCTTTCCTAGGCTACTACATTTAAACTTTGCAATAGCACTTCTTATTGTTACTTATATTATATATTAATTATTAAATTATTATATTAATTATGATTGAAATAGTGTCTCTGCATGAAATGAAGCTTCATGTGTGGAGAAACATTCGCTAGTACAGACACAAAACGTTTAAAGTTTTGCTTGTTTTTATCCTACGTAACGATATTACAAAACTGTGGGTAGTAAGTTGTGACTATGCAACAATTTTACAAAAACGACACAGTAATTTAGTTGCTGCTGCTGGCTTGTGGTAATGGCTGGCTGGCTTACCATTTTAATAGTTCACTTTTTTGTATACAAGATAGTTAGTTGTCCTAGCCGAATATAGTTTATAAAGTAATGTTTAACAAGTGATTATCGTACTTTTTGCTTCCAGCTGGATCGGCCAGCCTGCCATTAAAGTCTGAGCATACCCCACATGTTCGAAGCCCAGTTGCTTCTGTCAAGCTCCATTCACACACTCACACGCACGCACAAGTGGGGCGTCCCTAATTGCCATAAACAATGCTTAATTAACATAAAACTAACATTTCAAAATGACAACAAAAGCAATTTAAACAACTATACGTGCGTAATGAAGTCCGCCCACACTTCTAGTGGCCAAACAGATCCAGGCAGGGGCATTAAGCGCACGCCTTCGAGTTTTTGGGCATGACTCGGCACCGTTAACAGCTCTGATTTGGTTAAGTGCGGCATGGTGTGAAAATCAAAGTGGCATTAAGCACACGCCCACGCACTTTTGACGATGGTGCGATGACAGAAAGACAAGCGGACAGACAGAGTGTGTGAACAATTAATTGCGTTTAAGGGAAACCGATGCTGCCGATGTAGCTGGCATTAAGGAATTTATATGCTTGGTTGCTTTTACAAAATCGAATGTGTCTTTAAGTGTATGAGTAGTGTGAATATGTGTATGCGTGTGTGCGGTAGACGTCACTTAATATAATTAATTCGATGGTGTTTCCATTCGGTTTCACAGATATTCCGCGATTTTCTTACTAAAGTACACACAGCTTCCATAATTTGAGACCTTGCATCGGTGGAGTATATAAAAAAATGATGCCTGCAGATGTATTTTGCAATTTACAATCCCGAACTGGATCGTTTACTCGTATATGATGGATACATATACGATTTTCGGACAAATTTCAGATTTCGGGTTGAAAAGAAGAGCATACACAAAATCAATAGTCCCATTATAATTGGAAGAAGCTTTGAGAATTCTAAATCCACCAATTTGCCGCAATTCCTTGAAATTCGTTTAAATTTGTTCAAGCCAAATGAAATTGTAGTTAATATTATTTCATCTTCTTCGATAAAAGAGCTAACAACTGGATGAATAATCACGACTAATCTGCCATTTATTAAATTATTTAATTGGATTGAAAAAACAATCATTTAATTGATTGTAATGTCAATTTGTTCAAGCTTGGTGGGTCACATATTTTAATATATTTTAGACATAATTTTTATTGTTTGATAACTAAAATAATCGTTATATAGATACTGAAAACAGTTTTGACTGCGCCGATTGTTATTGTTGTATAGTGTTGGTGGAAGAATGAATTACAAGTATGCCCTTCTTGCTACCATTTGTGAAACAAGATTATCCCATTTCGATTAACTAAGTCTACAATAATCGAACATTACAACAACGGACTGTAGAGAATTGAAGTTGAAAATTGTAGTGATATTCTTTCAACTGCACATCTGTTTTAGTCACTACTCCTCCCACAATTAGTATTTTAGGAAGGTTGTTAGCGGACGATGAGGCTTCATTTATGGGCCGCGGATGACAGTCATGGATGACCAAATGTGTAATTAAACAAGGACAACGTTGTGACTTCTGTTGATGGCAGTGGAGGACTTATGGTTGCGGCGCAAGATAACGATTACATCTTAGCGGTTTTTGAGTTCTCAATGATTTGATTTCGTTTTAAATCTGACTATTTGAAGAAGTCTAAATCAAAAGTCATTTAATACCTGAGGGAAACAATACTTCCAAACAATAGTGGGAAATGGTCTGAATTTAGAGCATTTCGTACACAACGTATACTTGTGTAATATATATCAATATTTTTTGGATAAAGTGCGTTTATACAGTAATAATTTGATCTCCATACACAAACTAGTGCTACCAATTGGTTACTATTTTCAGCTTTTCTAATAATTAATTACAACAATCAGCGAATGATTTCGAAGCGCACAAGAATAAAATCAGACTTTTATTCCTGCATGTTACATTTTCTTTGTTGAGCCGTGCCACGAAATACACACTCGAGGGCTCAGTTGCACAATTAAAAGCATTAAAAGCACATACTCCTCGACCTCACACGCTCACATGCAGCTGCTCATTCACTTAGTCAGTCATTCAGTCAGTCAGACAGTATGTCAGTAAGTCAGCCAAGCTCGTTTTCTTTTGCACGCGCTTTTCCCGAAAAGCAGAGCATGCTAAAGTTTTGTTGTTGCTGTTTATGTCGGGGGATGGTGTTGGCATGATGGCAGAGGGGATGCTGCCTCTGAAAGCATCGCCTGCAGTTATGCAATATTATTTTAAAATAAATTCCACTATCACAGTGCGGCGCTTATTGTTGCAGGCG